ACTTTCCAACGTAGAAAGAAGTCCAGCTAGTCTCAACAGTTAAACTTTGTCAAATTAGTCTTATCTGGTGGTGGTGGGGGGGAGGTGGATACCACACACATACACACAGGGTATTGCCAGGCCACCCAGGCTGGCCTCAAACTCAATCCTTCTTTGGCCTCCCAGGTACTTGGATTGTGGAACTGTGCCATGAAGCCTGCCTCCTTATTCGTCTTACTCTTTAAATTTTCCTGCTGGGTCATCACTTCTAAATACATATCAACAGTTACCTAAACCTGCATTCATATAACCACAATCCCACCATCCAGCTGAAAAAGGAAATCTAGAGGCTGGGGAAATGGCTCAGTGGGTAAACACACTTACAAGGTAAGACCTGCATTGAGATCTCCAGCACCCACATAAAAAGCCAGGAATGATCGTGGGTGCCTGTAACTGGGCTGTAGGGCTAGAGACAGGAGGATCTGGGAGCTCACTGGTCACTTGGCCAGCCAAGCTGAAACAGGACTTCAGGTTTCCTGAGGGACAGTCCAAGTGGAGAGTGACAGGAAAATATTTGGTGGCCTACTCTTGTCTCTACAAGCCTGCTCATAGGCACCTGTACTCACACCATCAGGCATATGCACGCATGCATACACAAACACAAGCATACACACATGCACACACACCTAGCAATTCTTTTAAAATATCTGGTACCTTGCCTTTTAGAAGCATTGCTTTTAAATATTGTTTGGGTTGGCTGGATTGGTCATGGAGGTGGAAGCCAACGTGCACACAGGCAGGGTCCCAACAGCAGTGACTTCCCAGTGGTTTGCTTCTGTCCTGTCCACCTCCACCGTCCTTGTGATTGACAAGCTTATCTTTTGGGATTTTTTGTTTGTTTGTTGGCTCAGGGTCTCAACCTTGTATTCTTTTCTTTCTGGGAACTCACCAGGTAGATGAGGCTGGCCTCAGCCTCATGGAGATCTACCTGCCTCTGCCTTCCAAGTGCTGGGGTTAAGGGTGTGGGCCACGATGCTTTGCCACTAAACTCATCCTTTAAACTCAATCCATGAACATGCACACCATGGTCATTAACATCTGAGGCTGTGATAGGGCCTTGAGAAGTTGGACATTTCATGAGTATAGTGGGATATTCACTTTGTCTCCTTCTGTGGCACTGACCATGCCCATTGGGGAGTGGAGCCAGGGGCAGAAGTGACCTGGGGAACTAGGTCGGAGGAGGTCCGGGAGATCGCGCTCTAGCCGCACGGGAACAGGAGGACGTCCAGAGGAATTCTTGGAAGCAGGAACCTGTTGGTGTTCACCTGTCTATGTTGTGAGTTATTTCTCCCTGAATAAACATCTGTTTGGCCTAATTGTTTATCTTGATCCTTATTAAACTGCAATACATGAGTAGCGGGGGAGAGATCCCATAGGCATCAGCAATCGGGGACAGCCACAATAGACTTTTTCCTGTAGCTCCAGGTGAATAATACTAACATCTCCAAACCTTTGAACCCGGTGGTTATCAAAAGGGTCCTCCCCCTTCATTTTTGCACACTGAAGTTTGAGAATAACATTTATTACAAAACAAACAGTCAACCAAGTGTTGGTGTTGCACGCCTTTAATCCCAGCACTCAGGAGGCAGAGACAGGAGGATCTCTGAGTTTGAAGCCAGCCTGGTATACAGAGCAAGTTCCAGGACATGTTCCAAAGCTACACAGAGAAACCCTGTCTCCAAAAAGAAAAAAAAGGTCAGGAGAAAAACAAAGCCCCATAGAAACCAAAACTAAAATTCTCAAAAAAGATAGATATTACAGGGAGAGAGATGACCTAGCAGTTAAAGACACTTCCACAGGGCTCAGTCAGGATCTCCACTCCCACCTGGGGAGGGGAGGCTCCACCAGACTTAACTCCAGCTCCAGAGGATCTGATCCCCTTTCCTGGTGTTTGTGCATTGCACTCACATGCACAAACCCAGACATGCAATTCCGGAGTCAGCTTTTACAGACTTTTATTTTCCCTTTTTGCCTGTGTGTTTGTGTGCATATGGAGACCATAAGGCCACGTTTTTTGGAGACAGGGGTCTCACTACATGGCCTTGACTGGCCTCTCTGTATAGACCAGGCTAGCCTCAGATTCACAGAGTTCCATCTGGCTCTGTGTCTAGAGTGCTGGGATTAAAGGTGTGCACCACAACCAGACAATGTCAGGTGTCTTTATCTACAGCTATCTCCTTTATGTCTCTCACTGAGCCTGCTGCTCACCAGTTGCTACACTGGCTGGCAAGCAGCTTCTGGTGCCTGACATGTGACTACAGCTTCTACATACATGCTTGAGCTCCAAACTCAGTTTCTCATGCTTTGCCTTCCCCAGTGAGGCACTACAGCCCCAGAATTTACTTGTTTTCAAGATAATAAATTGAAGAGAGCAGAGATGATTCATGCTTACTGCTATTTGTGGTCGTTTTATAATCATTTAAAAACCATACCAGAATATTATTTAAGTCCTCCCTTGAGACTTGTAACTAAAGTGGCCCCACGGCCACCGTCACCACCTGAGCTTGTCTAGTTAGTACCTTTCTGTTACTGGGATTTGATGACTTTCGTCTACTCTGAACCATTCTCACTTCCACAGTCTTAGATCAGTCACTAAGGACGAGTGGGGATGGGCAAAGATTCCCACCCCCACAGTTTGACCCTGGGGTTATCTGGATGCCCACATTGTTTATTCAAATCTGAACTCTTCAGTGCTTCGCTCCTACCTCACGGCTACCCCAGCCCTCCCTGGATCACTTGGGTCACTCTGTTATCTGAAGTTCCCAGAGAAAAGTCATACTTAGAAACACTCCACAGGGCTCACCGGTCAGAACCTTGGTGATTGTGGAGAGCTGGAACAAGGCCATGTCAGCTCCTCGCCTCTGTGTATGACCTACAGTCCTGGTGACCATTAGCTAAGTCCTTTGGAAATGTATAGTTATCAGCTCTCTCAACCCTGGATGGCAAAGGAGGCCTACAGCAGAGATCTCCCCACGTGGCTGCAGCCCATCAACCTCGGCCTCTAGCAATCTTAAAAGTGCCTTGTTTCTGACATCCTCCATTCTGTTGCTATAAAAACCTCAGGAAGTTGTTACCGTGTTGGACCAGTCTGAGTCTCCTCCTGGGCTATATTCACTCACATTTGGTTCCAGAATAAACTCTTTTGTTCCCATTGAGGGAAGAGCTGTGCTTTATGAGTGCTCCGACTGTCCAGGGACATTGCAGCCCCAGGAGGTTGCAGAACCTGTTTCAGTCTTTGGCTAATGTAATCTAACTGTTCAGTGCCGGCTAACTCCCAACCTCATTGTCTCTCAATAGAACTGCTCAGACTCTTCACTGAATTCGGATCAGTAACACTGTCTGTACAAATGTTGTCTCCTTGTACAAATATTTACTTCCTTGAATAAGTAGCCCATTGCTTTTAATATATTTGCTGCCCAATTAGTGATCTGGCTCAAGGTGTGCAAGTCCAAGAGCATGGCAGGGTACCAGCCCAGCTTCTGGGAAAAGCCATGCCCATGTGCTTATCCTTGAAGGGTGGAGAAACAGGAGAGCAAGTGGGTTTGTGCAGAGATGCTCCGTCAAGACAGGAAGACAGAGAGTGAGCTGGGAAGTCAAACAACCTGCTCTTACAAGAACTATACTCATCCCTGGATGAAGGTGAAGTCACCATGGCCTAATGACCTCCTGAAAGTCCCACCACCTCTCAGCCTATCATGCTGGGACCAGGCAACCCCACAATCACATCACAGCACTTGGTGCTGTTCTACTCACGCTTCCGTTTCTTTGTGTTCTCTGAGACATGTGTTGCCTACTCAACTGCCTTTCCAGTGAACCACCCAGTAGCTTGACTACATGCACCAAAAAGCCAACACAACCATTGATTGCAAAAAACATTTTATGGCTGGGCATGGTTGGCAAAATCCCAGCCCTTGGGAGGCAAAAGCAGATGATCTCTGTGTTCAAGGATTTGGGAGCAGCCTGGTCTACACAGTAGGCTACAGACCAAGACTACTTAATAAGACCATCTCAAAATGAAAAAAAGTATGTGTGTGTGGGGGGGCAGCACGTGTGATACATTGCGTGCACTTGGATGTCAGAGGACAGCTTGTGGGAGTCAGTTTTCTCCTTCCACCAGGCAGGTCCTGGAGATGAAAGCCAGGCCACCAGGCTTGGTAGCAGATGCTCTCTCCTGCTAATGCATCTCACAGCCCTCAAGTGTTGACAATAATTATCTGCAGTCTTCTTGGGGCCCTCTCTGCCCAGGGTCTACATGGCCTGTATGAACGGCTGTGAACCACATGTGTGCAGTGCCCAAGACAGCCAGAAGAGGGCATCAAATCCCCTGGGCTGGAGTTACAGATGGCTGTGAGCCACTGAGTAGGTTCTAGGAATCAAGCTTGTGTTGTGTCCTCTGCAAGAGCAGCCAGTGCTCCTAACTGCTGAGCCATCTCTCCAGCCCTCAAAGAGAATTTTAAGACCCTCTCCTATTCAGTCTCCCTTTTCCAATAGTTTTTCCCTTCAGCTCTGTCTTTTTTGCTTCTATACTTTCATCTTGATAGTCCATGGCCTAAGAAACCATAACTCCCCCCCCACCCCCCCCACCCCGTAACAGCCTACTCAGCACTAGTATATACTCTATACTGCTGTGCCTGCAGGACAAAGCTAGTTTCTCAAGACTTAGTCTCGTCTGTCTGTTTCATAACAAAACAAACAATTATATATATATATAAAATTTCTAGGCCCAAAGAAAATGTATTACAGAGGTTCAACGCCATCAACACTTCTTATGTTTTTGGTTGTGAGCCTAGCCTTTAATGGCTGAGCCATCTCTCCAGCCCCCATCAACACTTCCTATACAATTGCTTAACCTATTAATCTATACTCTTTGCTTAAATACTTAAGAGTAAATCCAAGATATGACATCATTTAACTCTATCAACACGCAACCCTGTAAATTCAGTAAAAATGCAATTAGAATCGACATTTCATTTTTTATTTGGGGGCCCTTTTTACATATTCTACAGTCTAGTTTTATATAATGTCACAAATTACACTTTGTCTTGTGAAGGCTGACAGTGGGGTGTTTTGGCAAGAATTAAGTGCAACAGACACAAACAGCACTTCCTAGAGTGGTTGGAAAGCTGCAATGATCACACCATCTTAGGCTGCTGGACCTCTCTCCGCTCAACAGGCTTTTCTACCTTGCTATCACTGGTCTTGGAGATCGTTAGTGTGTCAGCCATCCAGGGTATGTGCAGCCTCTATTCACTAGATGACAGCAGTACCCTCCACACACACAAACATCTCAAGTTACAACAGGCCAAAAAAAAAAATCTTCTCCTTTACCAAAGGTCCCCTTGGAAGATAGCCCTGCATCAAGAACCGTTAAGAGTGGGCCCCAAGTATCCTTGGAGTCCCCAGTCACTCAGCTTCTGCGCCGGGGACTGAACAACTCTCAAAGGTCACTGTGCTTTAGCTACAGGGTCAAGTCGCATTCATGCCAGACAAAGGTAATTACTCCAAACTCTTGGAGCCATCTCAGATTCCGAGTGTGGAAAGCCTTTCAAGGCGTGGCTTTGTGAAGTTCAGCAGAGCCATCCAGTGGACCCTCCAAGCTTGTTCTTCCATCTTACATACAGCACCTGCCATATAAGACACCTCATCACCTGGAGTCTGTCCTAGCCTTGCCTGCTTGGGTACTTATGAAGTGAAATCAATCACAGAACATAAATGCCATGAGAGGCACTGAACAACAGCCATCTTCTGAAGTCGCAAAGTGATTTTAAGGCAAAGGTCAGTTCACTGGGAAATGCAGAGGGCTGACTTGCTGTCCTACTAAAGTCAGTACCAAGAATGCCTTGTTAGCTGGAAAAAGCATGTGTCAAAAATTTGATCTTTATATATTATTTTAAAATACAAAACATTGCTCTGTACAAATATATTGATTTCAGATTTTAACACTAAAACAGAATCTAGAAGTTCCATGAAGTGACCTCACTATTAAGCTTTTCCAAAGGAGAAAAACTAGACAAACCTAGATGTTTATGATCATTAGGACATACCGAGCAACAACAATACAGATTTTCCAAGCCATTAGAAAATTCCTCTGAAAATGAACAAAAGTGTATAATCACAAAAAAAAAAAAAAAAAAAGGAAATAGGTGGGAAGCTAGAGGCTCTATCTACAAGGCACCATGTAAGAGACAAAATGCAAGCTGTAAGAGGCTGTGGCTGAATCTCAGAGTATAAGCTTGCTGAGACCCTTCAAGTCTGACACTATATGGGCTACACACAAATGTCCTTCCCTGGAGCAGTTCACTCTGCTTAGATCTGCCAGTCAATCATAATATATACTCTGAACTGGGAGAATCTATTTGGAAATGAAGACTTTAAAAGAAACTATCAGTTCCCAGTCAAATTATGTTCAAAGACCAACAGAAATGAAAGCATAGGCAAGAAACAGAGGCTCCTGCCTCATGTTTTCTTTTTAACAATATTTCCTGCACAAATAACAGCTCTCTCCTTGTTCTTACAAAATAAAGCTCTAACACTGTAAATTAACTGCCTACAGAACAAGGCAAGGGCAGGTCCATCTTCCATGCATTCATCTGTGAACTACACTAGCAATGCACAGAGCCAACGCCAGTCAAAGAACCACCTCAGGGCTTTGCATAGGAGAAAGCTGTGCACCAAGAAACCCTCAGAGCATGACCCTGGGATGCCTCGACAGCTGCAAAGCTACAGGGACTGATGGCATCTAAGGACACGGACAGGTCTGTGCAAGGCCCAAAAGGCTTTTACCTACCGCAGAGGGAATTCAAGGTAAGCAGAGGATGCCACCGTAGGCCAGGATGAGCAGAACAGTGCACTGCACCTGTACAGAGTCAGTGACTTTAAATGAAGTCTCCCAGCAGCAGACAGCGACCTGAACGCTGAGAGGACCAACTTTCAATTCCCCAAGAGACACAGCTTATACATCAAGATTAATTCTCTTTGGCCGCATTGGGTAGCGCTTTCTCTGGGAGCAGTCTGGGGCATGCTTTCTCTTTAGCACTATGTTCGAGGCTTTCCTGGCTGCAGTCTCGGTTGGTGTGGTTTCTACTTGTGTTACAGTCTTGCTGGGCTTGGTATCTGCTCTTCTGTAACAACTGGAAAAGACTTCCTGGTTGATCCTCTGCAGCTGGATGACAGGCTGCATCTTTAAGACCTGAGAAAAGCCGTCTCCTTGTTCAATTAACACAGGCAAAGCCTTGGGAAAGAAAAGCTCAGGTTGAAAGGTGAACACACAAAGACACACTACACACAGACATAGAAACGCTGAATTATAATTCTTTTAAGTCAAGTCTATTACTGATACCTGGTTTCTTAGGGGCATGGATATTTAACTTTATGTTTTAAAATGCCCATTTAAATGGAAAAATTAAACTAAAAGCTAAGACTAATTCACAGCCTAAAGTCCCTTTCTTTGAGGAACGTACTTTAGAGATCTTGACCATCAAGAGTAGGGATAGGCACTTCTGACTGTAGAAAATGAAACAGCAAGCATTTTAGATTCTGGGGCTCTCTGCCCAAGGATTCAACCTTGGCCGGCCATGGTGGATGGTACATAAATAATCCCTGCACTCAAGAGACTGAAGCAAGCTTGAAGCCAGCCCTATCCCCGAAACAGAAGAACTCAAATCCACTATTGGAACATAAAAGAAACAACAAACAGGAAATAAATGAATGCTTCCACCTGTGTTCCAATATAGCTTTGTTTACAAAAATGATGCAAGCTGAATACCTGGCCCACCAATTCTGAATCAAGACTAGAATAAAAGCAATAGGTGATCAATTTTCAGAAAAACATGGAACCTATACAAAACAAAACAAAACAAAACAAAAAAAAACACGTTATAGAAAATGGACATAAGAGCTAGGGAGGTTCTGAAAGTTTAAAAATAATCTCCATGTACTAGGAATTTATTTTTATGTTTAGGTAAAATAAATATACCAGTAAAAACCATGTTATGATGACCTTGAGCTGTTCCAGCTGGAGTAGTGTAATAGAATGATTAAAAGCAAAGTTCCAGCCAGGCGGTGGTGGTGCACACCTTTAGGCCTAGCACTTGGGAGGCGGAGGCAGGCAGATCTCAGTGAGTTCAAGGCCAGCCTGGTTACAAAGCAAGTTCCAGGACAGCCAGGACTGTTACACAGAGAAACAAACAAAAGCAAAATTCTATGGCTAGGACACAGCTCTGGGTACAGTGTATGATAAGCATATGCCAGACCTGGGTCCAAGTCTAGCACAAAAGTAGGAACAACACACAAGTTCTGAAGCCAGATATCCTGGTTCAGGAACTTGGTTGGGCAACTTATCTAGGCTCTTAGTGGCTTGGTTTTCTCATCCATAAGTCATGGATTAAAACATCTATCCTCTAGTGTTAGTATGAGGATTACACAGACAGCAAACATAAAGCAAACACCACATCCATCAACGTTACCAACAGTATTATCCCAGAGTGCCCAACAAGCTGCCTGTTAACACCGTTCATAAAGTGTAATCTCTCTAGAGAAGCCAGGTGGGATACACAGCTCACAGTGAGCACATGCCAGGCAGGCTATGTGGCACACAGTAGGCACCTGATAAATGGAACTCCAGATGTTACTGTTGCTTAACACACTGAGTCACTTAACAGATTCCTGAGCATCCTCCTGCAGCCCCAAACACTGCCTGGTGCCCACTGACCAGCAAGCACCAGTCTCTCCCACTCTATGTACTTAGCACAGCTTTTACCTTCATGGCATCACTGATTTTCTTAGCTATGGAGTTCCCACGGCATTTCAAATTTTCCACATGAGAAGCTGCAAGAAAATACCAAACAGCATTTTAGGTTCTTTATCTAATCACCCAACCATAAAGACGTTTAGATGCAATCCAGACAGAAATCTGTTAGGACGATCCACCTTAGTCTAATCTTTCTTACAGTATTTTATAATCCACTAAAGACAATGTCCTACCCAATTTATCAAGATAAGTAAGAGGACCAGGAGAACAGCAGAGTGCAATTCAAAGGTGTGCACACAGGCCAGATGCTGAGCTGTCCCCGCTGTGCCCCAAGAGCACCTGACATCTGTTTTATAAACATAGTTGTAGCTGACATCTCTGTACATCATCAAGTTTTAAGCAAGCACAGGTTAAGACTTTATTTTTAAATGATTCTGAATTTTACAAAAGCAAAACACGGGCCAGTGAGATAACTAGGCAAAGTGGCTGCAAAGGGGGTTGGCAAACAGTTCAATCCCAGAACTGAGAACAAGGCTGCAAGGTTGCAGGAGGGAATCCACTTCACAAAACCATGTTCTGATCTTCATGTACATTCTGTACTTCCTGTTGCCGAGGCACTCCTAGTCTCTAGGATTTCAATGTAGACTGAAGACCAACAGCTTATCCCCGGGACTCCAGAACCAGACTGGAAACTGACTCAACAGCTACCTTGGCCTTTGCATGGGGAAACAGCCATAGGTGAACTACTGTATTGACTGTATAGATGAAAACAGTCCTTGGCCTGTGACCTCTTCTCTAGGTTTCTTACAAAGTAAGTTCATTCTATCAGTGACTACTACAGACAATTCTTAAAATACCTCATGCCACCTTTTTTGGTCTTTACATTCCCATTACTAAACAATACCTGTTTTTCACATTGCACAAACAATAAAAACATGTAAGCCCAAGAGTGGTATGGGCTTATGTGTAAAATGGAGCTAGGCTCTAGGCTTGCATACTTATAGATTATCACACCCAAGTGTGTGATGGGGTATTCTAAAATTGGGCTAGACAAATAAGACATTTAGTATTTTTGGTATACCTACAAATCCCTTTTATAAATTTTACAAATGACACCATCCCTCTCCCCGAAATATCCAACTTTTTCCAAGGGACCACTAGAGGGCAGTGTGCACACCAATGAGAAGTCTGGCCTCTCCTGGGAGGACTGTTCTCTAACTATGGGATCTAATACTGTGGTAATCACAGTACCTGAGAACAGGAACTCAAAAGCTAGGACAGTGCGAAGCCATGATGTCAAGCACTTCATTAATTAAAGAGGGTGATGTCAACTCACAGGGGGACTACATTATAGATATGCCTTAATCAGGGACCTGGTGCCAAATGGACTGAGGAGTACAGGGTAGGAGGCAGGTAGATAGGATATACTCTACCCAAATAAGGAAATATATCAGAAACAGGAGAAAACAGGAACAGGGAAACATGCTCCACAGTGGGAGAGAAGTGAGGGGTTATCAGGGTAACGACAGAAGGAGTAGACAGGATGAAGATTCACTGTAGGCAAGGGCAGCTGAAGAGAAAGGTTAAAAATAGACTGATGGATAGCCTCAAGTGTTTGCCACACCCAGGAATTTACAAGTCTGGGAGAAAACCAGAGAGAAGCAACTGGTGGGAGATGTCATTCTGTAAATATGTTTCTCTTATTGGTTAATGAATAAAGCACTGTTGGCAAATAGGAAGGCAAGATAGGTGGGACTAGGAGACAAGGAGGATTCTGGGAGATGTAGTAGAGGAGAGTCAAGATGTAGGAACATGAGAGAAGAGGAACAGACTCTTTCTCTGGTAGGTAAGGTAAGGCCTTGTGGAAACACTTAGATCAATAGAAATGGGTTAATATTTAAGACAGAGCTAGCCAATAAGAAACGCTAGTAACAGGCCAACAGCTTTATATCTAATATAGCATCTCTGTGTGTTATTTGGGGCTGACAGCTTTGGGACCAGGCTGGCAGGAAAACTGCTCATAACAAGCAACTGTCAGGTTAGAGGACTGCAGTAATAACGCTCACACTGAAGGATATGTACACAGTGTAAGGTCTAAGGGTGTGTATACAGTATAAGGTCTAAGGGTGTGTATACAGTGTAAAGTCTAAGGACCCAACACCGGACTGATGAGGAAGATTAGAAGTGAAGCTAGTAGACAGCTGGGCATGGTGGCACATGACTTTAATTCCCTGCACCAGGGATGCAGGGGCAGAGGCAGGTGGATCTCTGTGAGTTCCGGGTCAGCTGGTCTACATAGCAAGTTTCAGGAAAGCTGGGACTACATAGAGAAACCCTGCCTCAAACAAAAACAAAACAAAAAGTGACTCTGGTGAGTGCAATAAGTCTTCTGGGAAACTAGCCTATGAAAGCAAAGCACAGGGAAGACAGACACACCCTGAAGCCTCATCTGCTTCAGCCACCACACACCCTGCCATTCTCAGGCCATTTCAGAACAGGCTTCATGGCCACCTTTACAAATAACCCTAGAAAGGGAATTGCAACTGGATAGAATTAGAACTCACATCTTCAAGAATCCAAAGAAACATTCTAAAATATCACTCCCCCAGAAATCACAGACACACACAATAAATAAGTTTTTAGGAAGCTAAACATATCATTTCCCAACATGAATACCTGAGAAAATTTCAAAGCAATAAGCTTTTTGCTCCCTTGCTCACAATGGTTCTGAGTCCATCTGTCATAGTTTATAACGAAACAGAACACAGAAACACTCCTGACACACGAGGTCTGCCTTAGGAAGTCTCCTAGTGCTATGGCTGGCCCAGTCCAGTTAAGAAGCTGTGTGAGCCTCCCCTAGAAGCATTCTCCATGCCTCCTCTTCCACAGGCTCAACAAGGACATCTTCATGATGGCAATGTGTTCCATTCTTACCAATGCTAATAAAAGTTCCTAAAAGGACCACACCCCACAGGGAGTCTTCCAAAACAGATTAACTTAATTAGTACAATGGGGGAAAGGATACAATGTTTCCAGTTCAGAGCCACATTATCTGAGCTGTCTTTACCTACACAGCAATGTGTGCCTCCTTTGTAAATGACCCAAAATCTTTAGACCATTAGATAAATCCTTGGAGATGTACATACAGACCATTTCTATCAACCAGAAAGCTAAGCCACGGGCGGGCATACAGCACCTTAGACCCATCTGTAACCACCTGCCTGACACTTCTACCAGTGCATTAAAAATATCTCATTTATGATTTCCTCTAGTGTTACTGTAAAACTCCACAAAACTGTTACCACATTACAACATGAAATTTGCAGTAATCTAACTCTACACTCCCTGGCCATGGTCACTGATATTTATCTCCAAAATGAAATCTCTTTCCCCCTTTAAACTAAAAGTTTGCATCCTAGATGCAAATGTGGACTCTGAAGTACAAGTACTTGTGAGAGTTACCAGTGTCCGATGACAGACAGCACTGCCAGGAAACAAGAGGGGGTGCCTGAAGGCTTAGAGCTCAAGGAGCTACAGGAGAACTTGAGACATCTCTGCCATCACTACATGTCTAATGCAGGGTAATGGGAAAGAACCTTTTCATTCCAGGGGCTTTACACTGATGACTATTCGAGGTTGCTCCTGACAAACGAGAACCATGTCTTATTGGTAAATAGTTAATCAGTAGATAGCTGGGGAAAAAAGTTTGCCCTTACAAAATGTGGAAGTTCAGAACCTCTGAGAACATAGCCTGCTTTCCAAAACAGAGGGAAATGAAAAAGTGGAAATGAAAGATTGAGTAATAAGCCCAGTTTTGCTTCCAGGTCACTGCCTGACTAAACAAGGGAACATGAACCTCCAAATCCTGCAAATTCAGCAGAAATGCGCCAGTGGAGAGCTTCCCATGCACCTCCGATGTATTTCCTGAGAACGAACAAGCAAGCATGCTCAGAGCCCAACCAGCTTGTCTCAGTTTCTAAGGAGGCAACTGATGCCTGCGATGCCATTGAGTCAGTGAGGATGGAAATCAGCATTCCTGCTGAAAATACAAACCAGTCACAGACCTGTGAGCCCACACACTCATGCCTCTGCAGCACTGTGTGGTAATGCCGGTCTTGTGGAATATGAGTTTAAGATGTGTTACATTTCTCTATGCTGTGGAACATTTGTTTTAATGATGCCAAGATGTGTTACATCCTTTTATGCTGCATTTGGTTAACTCTGTGAAGCTGTGATTCTTTGCCTGTCTAAAACACCTGACGGTATAATAAGGTGCTGAGCGGCCAATAGTGAGGCAGGAGAAAGGATAGGTGGGGCTTGCAGGTAGAGCTAATAAATAGAAGAGAAAGAGAGCTTGAGGAGCAAGAGCAGAAAGAGAGGAAGATGTAAGAGGCCGGTCACTCAGCCAGCCATGGAATAAGAAGGAAAGTAAGATATAGATAAAAAAAAAAAAAAAAAAAAAAAAGGAAAAAGCCCAGAGACAAAAGGTAGATGGGATAATTTAAGTTAAGGAAACCAGGCTTGAAATAAGCCAAGCTAAGGCCGTCATTTATAATAATAAGCCTCTGTGTGTGATTTATATGGGAGCTGGGTAGTGTGCCCCCAAAAGAGTCAAAGAGCCAAAAAAGTAAAAACAAGCAAACAAAAACCCAACAGCCTCCTTTGGGCCTGTCAAACCCTTAACCCAGGGTTTTTATCTGGCCTCAGCCAAGTGTCTGATCTTATTTGCCAATTCTTTTGTCCATGGGGACTTGAGTTCATTCCTCAGTGCTTTTCCTCTTGTAAGTAACCACATAAATGCCCACCTGCCATTGCCACAGACGCTTCCTCTCTCCTGAATACACTGTTCCAGGCTCACGTTACCCACCCTCTAGCACAGTGTTACAAGAGGCCAGCCAGATGCTGCTTCTGGAGGCATGAGGAGGCTGAACCCTCAGCCAGGGCGACACCTTTAGGGCTTCTTTAGAATTCTGACCAGAACAACCTGGCCAGCACTACTGTATTATGCAGATCCTGGCTAGCAGACAGAAGCTGCAGATTTGCCTCTCTGTAAAATGGAAGGGACTGATGTGCACCAGCATGGTAGGAAGTGGGAATCATCAGTGCCCTTGTTCAAAACCAAGGGCTGCAATAAGCCTCCCTACTCAGAAACAGACTGGAAGTAAACATGCCTCAAGCTACTCTGTAAGTGCTGGGAGACAGGTGACATCTTCAGGCTTGGACCTGCACCATGTGCCTACCCACTGCCTTGTGCTCAGGTCCACTATCTCCAATATGGCAGGTATGCACAGCCTCTTAGGCCATGCCCTTGCCTTGGACTGCTCGTGACTAGGTGAGGGCAGCACAAACCTGGTGGCAGGACAGGGGAGAAGAGCAGAGCAAGCAAGCACAAGGAAGTGCCAGTCCAGGGAACTCTTAGCTGACACGGGAGGGAGGGACTTCCTGCAGAGGTGATGCAGTGAATCAAAGCCCCAGATCCTCAGGAACTAAAGTCAATCAGGTATACATTCAGGGCTGAGAGATGGTGGGAGGGGGTATGGGGGGGGGGTAAAATGACTACTGAGCAAGCATGAGGAGCCCAGTGCCGATCCCTGGCTAGATGTGCAGAAGCACATGTCTGCAACCCCAGTGCTGGTGAGGCAGGGACTGAAGGCTCGTGACAGCTCCCTGGCCAGCACAGCTGAACCAGGGAACTCCTTCCTGTTCAGTTAAAGGAATGGCAGGATACCTTGAGTGGTAGGTCCGACAAGGGGTGATAAAGGACTCTGATGCAGGTTACATGGACAATCTCTCTAGTGAGGTGACGGTGTGAACAGAGAGCTTAGTGAAGGGAGAGGATCAGACAGGTAACTTTATACATCAAGTTTGAAAGGCACCGGCCCAGTGCATACCAGGTACAGCCTGGAACACAGAATGAAGGTTAGAGCACTGTAAGCAAGGGTTACAGGTGTGGAACACCAGGCCAAGTAGAGATCACACAAAGCTGTATGGCACAAGAACTCCATCCCAGTAAAACCACTATTTAAAAGGAAAAAAGACAGGAGCTGGAATGACAGTTCAGCAGTTAAGAGCTCAAACTGCACTTGAAAAGAACCTGAGTTCAATTCCCAGCACCCAACCCACATTGGGCCGTTCCCAGCCACTTGTATCTATAGCTCCGGGGAAATCCATTGCTTCTGGCCATGTATGGCACCTGCAATCAATCACTCCTACATATTCACCCACATACACATTGCTTAAAAATAAAAATGTTACAAAGATAATGGGTTCAATATATTCAACAAGATGAAAGCAAATAAAACTTAAAAGCAAAGATGAAATAAAATCTCAGAGCTTGACAACCTTTACCTGAAGCTACCTAAGGAAGTACTAGCAAGAAGCAAACCTAGAAGGCAGCCAACAAATTAAAATTAAAAGCTCTTTCAGACTTTTGAAAATTTGATTGACAAATCTAACTAATCACCAAGTACAAAAAAGTAGCTACTGAGCCAGACATGGTGGCTTATACCTAGGATTCCAGCACTCAGAAAATGGGAGGCAGGAGGATCATGAATTCAGGGATTGCCTGGGCTAATAATGGGACCCCCCTGCCTCAAAAAACAAAAACAAACAAACAAACAAAGCCAGCTGGGGATATAGCTCAGTGGCAAGCATTTGTCTAGCAGGGACAGGGCCGTAGGTTCCATTCTCAGCAAGAAAAAAAAAATCCTAACAGGTGAGTTTTATCTTTTATTTAACCAGAAAAAATAAAATTGACATTAAAAACAGAAAACTGGGAGTGAGGGTGTCCTTATTCAATGGGCAGAGGGTACAAAGGTCCATTTCTTGCTCAAGGGTTTTAAAGGACCGGATAAAGTCAGATAACTTTACTACAGCAGTTACAATTTTATAGGAGACATTAAAGGAACAGAACCAGAGTATGCCTCTTCTAAACTCAGAAACAAAAGTAAGAGTGTAAAGAACACTATATTTGGGGCTGGAGAGACAGCTCAGCGGTTAAGAGCACTGACTGTTCTTCCAAAGGACCTGGGTTCAATTCCCAGTACCTACATGGCAGCTCACAGCTGTCCATAATTCCATTTCCAGGGGATCTGACAGTCTCACACAGGCAGGCAAAACACCAATGCACATGAAATAAAATTATAAAAAATTATAAAAAAAGAAACAAAGAAAAAGAACACTGTATCTGCACAACAGAAGGCAGCAAAGGCAGGGCTTGGTAAAGAGAGCCTGGATCAGAAACTGGAAACATGCAAAAATCTGAACATAAAGCTGGACTCGTCAACTGTGGCCTTCACTGCATTTACTAAAACTGTCTAAACTAACTCAACAAGCTAAATATAACACAAATTGTACAAAACCAGGAAGACCACATTAAAGATAAAATCTGAATTGTGAAAACAAAAAAACCAAAACAATAAACCTACAGCAAAACTGAAAATTGAGTTCCTGTTAGTAGAAATAGTCAATAGCTGTGCAGTCGCACCTCAGGAGCATCTAGCATTTGTGAATGAATGTAATACTGGAAAGGGAAAACTTGCAGAATGACAAAGAATATTATACAAACCTAAAAACAAGTGCTATGTATTGATTGTGGAGGAGAGGCCACACACAGCTGGGGACCATGATAAAGGATGCCTCATTTAACACATTCTCCAATGGCTTACCTGGGTCAGGGTCACATTTCAGGTCCAAGGGATGTACAACAGGACGATACCGCTTCTAAACACAGCACAAATTAAAACATTTAACTTAGACATGTGATGTCTCAGGTAAATAAGCATGTCTTTCAGCTAGCACAAGCAAGTGTGCTATGTTAATCCAGTCTACAGTGCTAGCTTCAAGGCTTTTCTCTTTTTAGATCCTGAACTCTGTAAGGAAAATGTCCTTAGATTTGAATAGCTTTTTGTTTGTTTTTTGAGACAAGTTTTCTCTGTATAATTGCCTGGAACTCCCTTTGTAGACCAGGCTGGCCTTGAACTCAGAAATCCACCTGCTTCCGCCTCAAGTGCTGGGATTAAAGGTGTGTGCCACCATTGCCCGGCTTTGAATACCTTTTGTGTACTGCCACCTGCTGCATACAGTGCATACAGCATGATGAAAATTATAATCAGAAAAAAACAAAGTGAAGGCACAGCGGTATTTAAAGTACAGGGCAATGACCAAAGTACGATGGAAGTTCATTCAGGACAAATGTTTGGCACTCAGGATTGTATTTCCACAGACACTTTTACAAAAGTGGCTAGACTACACACCAGCCCATTACTGTTCACAGCTTCAATAGCATACAGGCCAGCTGGCCCATCCCACAGTCAGGCAAAAGGAAAAGGGAAATGTTCCTTCTTACTCTTGCTCAATGATAACCAGAACCAGAGTGTAAAAAAGGAGAGACAACTAATGCTCTCCCCACCCCCTGCCTCACTGACTAGTTTCAGGGTTTTCTTTAGGGAAGTCAGAGAGGTGGGGAGGGTGCACAGCACAGTCACTACACATCGAGCATTCTTCCTCTCTAAGGAGGGATGCTGTGAGAAAGACGACACATTCCCGTGGCTTTCCCTTTCCCTATCATGATATGACTTTGAATATTCAGATTTAAAAAGCTAAAGGCGTGCACAAGCTAAAGCCGGCATAGTCATTAAGAGGGACAATGCCACCCACAATCAATCTCAGTACCCAGAAGACTCAGGTCTGATCTGCCAGGGCATGTAACTGGCATGGTGACTGACACCTACAGGAAAAAGCAGGCCTACAGCTTTGCCCATCAGAAAAGCTGAGCCAGCCAGGTGTGGTAGTGTGCTAGAATATTATTTTCAGGTGTGTGACTTTTGTTTATGCTGCACTTGTTTAACTCCTTGAAGCTGTGATTTTTTGCCTGTCCAAAACACCTGACCTGCCAAAAACAAGGCAGCGTCAAGGATAGGCAGGGCTGGCAGGCACAGAGTAGAAACAGAAGGAGAAACGAAGAAGGAAGAGAGCAAGAGAAGAAGAGGATGCTAGAGGCCGGCCAGCCACTGAGTAAGAAGGAAAGTAAGATATACAGAAGAAAAATAAAAGCCCAGAAGGAAAAGGTAGACTGGTTGACTTTAAAAAAAAAAAAAAGCTGGATAGCAACAAGCCAAGCTATGGCCAGACATTCATAAGTAATAATAAGACTCCATGTGTGATTTATTTGGGAGCTGGGTGTCAGGTCTCTCATGAAGACCAAAGAGACAAAAGAGCATAACATCACACAACACATGGCAATACATACTGCAATCCCAGCACTTGAGATAAAGGTTGGAAGATCAGAAGTTCATGGCCAACCTGAACTATATAGAAGGTTAATTTTTTACTATGCATACGGTGTTGTGTTGGCATATTATTAATGCAGGCCAGAAGAGGGCACCACATCTCATTACAGATGGTTGTGAGCCACCATGTGGTTGCTGGGAATCGAACTCAGGATTTCTAGAAGAGAAGCCAGTGCTCATTAACTCCTGAGCCAACTCTCCAGCCCGGTAAGCTAATTTTTTTGTGGTAAAATAGCATGTGAGGATTTAAATGTAAACATCTCACCAGAATCTCATGCTGTACTTTCAAGGTTTGGATGATGCTCTCCAGGATCCTTCTGGGGTACTGCCTGCGTTTTGTTGCCACATCTACTATGAGCTCATCAAATTCATCTTCAAGAAGTTTGATGTCAGAGTCTACTTCAGAAAAGGTCCATATTAGTATAGAAACATTATATACACTCAATTCACAAAATAACTGAAGAAAACAGCATGGCAAACTAATGAAGTTCCCCTCATTCCTGTACCAATCAAGTGTGTAGCATGACCCCAAGAGACAGGCAATTGTAACTTGACAAATGCATCAGGAGTATAAAGACAAAGGATACAGAACAAGGAAACACCACCAGTGGGAGTGAATGATTAAACAGAAACAACAATTGAGCTTGAAATCCAGGAGTAAACAAAGGCACCGAATGAAAAGAGGACAGGGAGAGACATCTTTGGGGAAGGAAACTGTGACAACACAGTCTCTGCAAACAGAAGCATTCTGCATGGATAAACTACAGGGAAAAGGGCTGAGGACAGCTCAGCTGCAGAGCATGGGCTTACAGTTCACAGGGCCCTGGGTCCAGCCCTGTATACCCTCTTCCCTACAATAGTTAACTATAAAGGACATCTCATACAGTAGACAAGCTTTCACTTTATCTTTGTGACAACAGCAGTGAGAAGAATGCCCAGATGTGATGTCTGACTCATTGGGGGGCTGGGAGTGAGGTATGAAAGGTATAGTGACTCTGGGGGCTTTCTCATTTAGTAGCAACCATTTTATCAGCTCTTTCCTCTACTGTAAGACAATATTCTTAAGCTCAAGAAGAAGGAATGGTCACCTGGGGACTATGTTACCAGTGTGTAAATCTGGACTCAGAAGACCTAGGATAAGGAACAGAAATGAAGCACCTAGAAGGAGTGAGTGCAGACAGACTCACTGGGCTTCATCTAAAAAATAACTTTAGAGTGAAAATCCTGGGTTGGGGAAGGCAGCTCAGTGGTAAGAACATCTGCCAAGCACTGGAAGTGATCTGCACTCAATCCCCAGCACTGAAAGAAAACAAGTAAGAAACACAAAATACTTACGAATGCTAAAGACTCAAGTCTCTGGTTAAATGGCCTGCACCCTGAGCTCTGCTATGCCAGTCTGTGTCAATCCCACTGCCTAAAGCTTTACCAGGAAGAAGTCTTACTGGCACCTGTTTCTGAAATGTTCCGCAAGCTGGCTGGTGTATGTCTGCAAGCACATGTCACACCTAGACTATGACATGTAGCAGGTATGGTCTGTCACTCCTGTAACAAACCGAGTCCAGTCAGGGCTTCTCTGGAGGACTTCTGAGGAGCAAGCCTCACTTGGAACACTTAGTAAAATAAGCAGCTTTAAACTATATTATGTTCATTTGAAAAGCAAAGTCACTGGCCAGCAAAGAACAGCACACATTTTATAAAAGTTCTTTTTAAAATTTATGTGTGTGTGACAGGGGACCATACACATGCCACAGCATTCGTGTAGAGGTCAAAAAAAAAAAAAAAAAAAAAAAAAACTCCCGGAATCAGTTCATGCCTTGCACCTGGGCCCAGGTTTGCACAGCAAGCACTCTACTCAGCTCAGCCATCACATCTGTCAGGGAAATATACTTGGGAAGCGGCTTCCTAGAGTCACCAAGGGGTAGAATTTGTAAAAGCACAATGCACAAACAAATGGATGTCTATTTCTAAAAATAGAATTCTGCTCTCAAGGAACTGCCCTTAAAATCTGTCTGACCAAACTTCTTATGATCAAACCCATCCGGGGCAGTTAAAACTGAAGGGAAGAGGCTGCTTCACATACATAGTTTGCTTTCTTTGTAGGTGGTATTGCATGCAGGAGCTCGGAAACCTCAATAAACAAAACAGATTAAACCTCTGTCCCCTCAAAACCTCCATTTTGCTTCTATACATCTCCCCAGAAGCAAAGCCTATTAAATCTATTCACACAATTCTCCAAAAAGTTCTCACCCAAGACTGGGGTATATTGCACAGGACTTGCCTGACATTGAGTCTATAGGCTTGTTCACCAGAACTAAACACACATGAATGCACGTGGGCACACACACCCCACTCCCATGATTCCTCCAAGACCACATGATAAAGCACAAATCCCTTACAACTTAGCTTTCTTGACACATTTGCTATTACTTTTCCCAACTCACTGCTGGCTTTCCAAACATTTCACTCCTTTGAGCCTTTTTGTATGTTTTGTTTCAAACAAAGACCCATTGAAAACCTGTGGAATGTGGAAAGTACTTCTAGCTATTAAAAAAATTCCCCTTGAGCTGAGGACTGAACCCAGGGCCTTAAGCGCTCCACAACTGAGCTAAATCTCCTACCCCAGATAATTTTTTATATATTCCCTACTAATCAGCAATTATTGGGTTAATATTTTACAAAAGGGATGGTGATGGTTTTATCCATTTAATATGTAAACCCAAAATCTGTTTTGGTAATTTTAAAAAGACAACTAACATAGTCCCAGGTAACAGACAAGAAGCACTCTCTTACTGTTCAGAAGAAAAAGTTATAGTCACTAGAGTTGCTAGTAGACCTGTAATCAGCTCAAATGACTGGACAATGTGAACACAAAGCAGTGACATCAATAATGCTCAAACCTAAGTAATGCTTCCAGAGGGACAGATGGCACACTCAGCTTCTGGTCAGAATAGTCCTTCTCTGGACAGAACGGCAGGTACAGGGATGCCTACCTTATTTCCCAAACTAATCACTCCCTTTCAATTGATGTTTCCTTCCTACTCTACCCTTTCTTTCTCTATTAGTACTTTACCTTCTTTAGGCATGCCAGCACCACTAGTAAGGTACAATCAAGTCTAAGCCAAGAGTGGTATCGCACACCTTTGATCCCAGCACCTGGGAGGCAGAGGCAGGTGGATCTCTGAGTTTGAGGCAGGCCTGATCTACAGAGTTCCAAGATAGCTATGGCTACACAGAGAAGCCCTATCTCAAAACAAACATACGAACAAACAAAAATACAATCAAGTCTTTGGAGTAAGCTAACAGTCTTAAGAAGCTGTCTACAAATTTGCCACACCCTTTGCATGGTACTCATACAGTTTAACTTTGCACGTAAGAACACTTCATTATCCATTCTAAGTATCATCTAACCATTGCAGAAACATAAACCTGGCTTATAAAGAAATGCACGGATTTCCTGGGTCTGTTTCTTAAACTGGGGATAATTCTACAACATCTTCCAACAGCCTACTGCAGAAGCATCTGAAAGACCTTTTAGGACACCAGATACCAGACAGGATAGATCAAGGTACCCACTGAGTTTCTTTTGGGCTATTATGACTTCAGTAATCTACATTAGTTTCTTTTTTCCCATAATAATTTAAATGTGTTTTAAGATAAATGATATAGAAGCCAGTGAGATGGCTAAGCAGGTAAAGACACTTGCCACCAAGCCTGAGAGAGGACCTGAGTATGATCCTTGAAGCCCACATGGAGAAAAGAGAAAAACAACTCTTGAAAACTGTCCTCTGACCTCCACTGTGTGCCATGACATGAGAACTCCATCCAATACAATGTTTATTAAAGACAGAGTATGGCTTAGTCACTGTTCTATTGCTGTGAATAGACGCCATGACTAAGGCAGCTCTTATAACAGAAAGCATTTAATTAGGGGCTTGTTTACAGTTTTATCATGGCAGGGAGCATGGGGACTGAAAGCTACAAGCAGAGAGAAAGAAAGAAAGAGCTACATCCTGGTCCACAAGCAGAGAGAGAGAAGGAAAGAGAAAGACACTGGGCTTGGCATGCGCTTTTGAAACCTCAAAGCCCACTGCCTGGGACACATTTCATCCAATAAGGCCACACCTCTTAATCCATCTCAAACAGTCCCACTTCCTGGTGACTGCATTCAAATATATAAGCTTTGGAGGCCATTCTTATTCAAACCACCACAGAGAGACAAAGAAAACAGAAATAATAAAATAACATTTGTTAGGAACTAGCAGCCAGCTGACCCCCGCCCCTACGATGGGCCGGACGCTCATGGCCTTGTCATCTCTATGTCAGCTTTACCTGGCAGCCAGAGGACTCAGTTACGCATGCGCAAGCCTCTTTTAAAGCAAGCGCGCCAAGTGCTTCTCTCTCTCTCTCTGCCTCTCTCTGCTTCTTTGCTCTCTCTGTTCCCTCTCTCTCCTGCTTTCGGTTGGCCACCAGCTACCCCCTCTTTCTCTCCCCTCTCTCAATAAACTCCACGTGGGCGCTGAGTCTCGTGTTTGTGTTTCTTAGGCATTAGCTGCAGCAAAAGAACAACAACATTCAAAATAAGTTAGCTGCAAAAACAAGCTCAGAAATTAATGACAGAGCAAGAAAGACTCAAGCCACGTACCCATAAGATGGTGGTCGGCAGCTTCCTGCCAGGGTTGTCCATTAATGCTGACATTCTCCTGAACAGCTGTTTCAAAAGTCTGCAATAAATTTACAGCAGTCAAGTCAGCAGAAGCAAGTCTAAATCCTGAATTCAAACATTTTAGCAAGACAGTAATGAAATCTCTGTGGAACAGAATGGAAACAATGAAACACTGAGGAAAAAAATAAATAAAATCCAAGTGAACTATTAGGAGAAGACTAAATACCCTTACCACTCAGTAGTGAGTGCACCAGCTCTATCAATGACAACTCATCAGCACGGCCACATAAATAACAAACAAGAACACAGAGTGGTAAACTGTAAAATTCTAAAGACGGTTTAGGCTCTGCCACGTGCTCTCCAAAACATTAAGTTATTTCCAGAAGGGGTTCAGATGGGGCATTCATAAAGGACCTAATAAATGCTATTGTTTGAAAATATTTTTAATGAGCATGTCTTTTGTGTCACTTGTATAATTAAAAATAAGTATAAATGACTGATAATTATGAGTCATAGTACATATCCTATACTAGTATCTTACAAGAAGGGCAGCACTTTACTAGCAAGGCTCTGAATTCAATCCCCAGCAGTAACGGAGAACAGAAAGATTTAATAGGATAAGATTCTTACTCTGTTAAACTCTCAAAGATTGGACGAGAATACAAATTGTCTTCGAAATACTCACTGCAGCTTCACCAACCATTTAAGAACATGCTACTTTATTATTGAGCTTTACTTAGAGGTATATCAACATGGTCAAAACTTCTCAACAAACCATTACTTCTCATTCTCTTTAAGCTCTCACCCAATAGGATATAAGAGGTTAAGCATTAAGTACTAAGAATCCTAGAAATTTTCTGGAATCAGACAAACCTTGCATTTACAGCTGTCTCCCAAATTAACTACTAAAAATGAGATGTTGGCTTGATTCCAAGGAGGGAATAACACAGGAACCACCGTACACTGTACAATGAACACAAAACTGGAATACAGAATTACAATCCGAGGAAGGTTTGCTAAGTACATCCCCAGCCCCTCCTCGTTTTTGTTTTGTTTGTTTGTTTGTTCTCTTGGGGCTGATAACCTCTATTTTTACTCTGCGCTGTTGTCATTCGGCCACAAATGTGCTGCATTACAAGCAGGAATGCATTCTTTACTCAGAAACCATCATCTTCAGGGTTTTTGCAAAATACAGGTGAAAGAGGAAGTGGGTTATAAAGGCCAATGGGGTAGGGAGGGATTGGGGTCTCTCTATGCAGCGCTAGCAGGTCTGGAACTCACTGTGTGGACCAGACTGCTCTTGAACTCACAGAGAGTTGCCCGCCTCTGCCTTCCCAGAGCCGGGCGTACACTGCCACGTCCAGCTCTACTAGTGATCTGAGTAAAATTTAACATCAAGGCAGCTTCCTCGTCTATTTTCGCCTTAAAACAACAAGCAAAAGCAAAGACAAAAAAAAAAAAAAAAAAAAATTAGTGGGGTGACGGCCGGTCCGTACCCACTGCGCGTCCCGCAGCGCGAGCTCTCGGACGTCCTCCGGCAGCGTGGCCCCGAGCTCCTGCACAAAGCGCCCGCACAGCTCCATCACTTCCACCACGGGCCTCTTCAAGGTGCAGCGCACTCGGAAGTCCTCTGGGAGAGAGGCGGGCGCCATGGCCCGGGAGTCAAAGGAGGAGCGGGCACCCGGATCCTGCGCCAGCACCGTTTGAGGAACACCCGCCATCTCTATGGTTTGAACTGAGGCGATGACGCCAAGACCGGAAGGATGCTTCTTCTCTCGGTGGAGCGCCCCTGTACGCGTCCGGCCGGAAACTTCGTCCTCCGTGGCCCATGGTTCCGCGCGGGCTTCCGTGGCCCCGGGAATTCCACGCCGGCTTCCGGTTGAGAAGTCTGCAGAAATGGCTGTGGGTACCGTGGGTCCGGGGCTAGTGGACTGCCACTGCCATCTCTCCGCCCCGGACTTTAACAGCGTATGTGAAGACGAGTTGGGGCCCGCGGGAGTCGGGAGGGCCGTGTCCTTTCCCGGAAATAACCTTTTCTCCCCCAAATCCTCAGGCGCTACCTAGACTGTGGCGACCAGGCCGCTTTCCCTTTCAACCTCCGTCGTCTTACTGCTTGTTCCTTCCGATGTTAGATGGCGGTAAACTATCTCCACGGAGCTTGTGTTTGTCGATTCAACAGTCCTTTCTCTACCACTCCTGAGATGTGCTGATCCATCCCAGCCCTCAACAGGGGTCCCAGTTCTGAGCTGGGAGAGGGGCAAACGAGTAACACGGAACAGGGCCTGTGTGTAGGGATAGAAATAGGTTTTACCTGCTACTTAGGAAGACTGAAGGTGGAGGAGCCGCAGGTCTCTGCTTCTTAGGAGGTGAGGCTTATAGTGAGTGTGCGGTACTAAGGAACACCGGCAGGTTGTAGACACCGATCAGTATGGAGTTTGTTTTAGTTAACCAACAGCTGGAAGCGATTAATAAAATAGAATTTTTAAAGACTGGGGAGGTTTTCAGGATATGGGAGAGGTAGGTCAGTAAGACATTCGAATTGCATTAGGTGCACCTTTTTAACTCATTAAAGTTTTAAGACAACCCTTTTTTAAAAAAGAAAGAACAATATTCTGGAGACAAATTTGCTGCAGTGTGACAAAAATGTGAAGGAGAGAAAGCTAAACCACTTAAGTCTCAGTAAACAGACAGGAGATGGTAGAAGCTAGTGCTCTGATACCATGAGAGCCCTAGTAGATGTACTCAATGTATTTTAGAAATAACTCCAATTATGCATGCAGGGGACTTAGATGTGAAGAGCAAGGGGAAGGAAGGAATGGAATATGGCTTAGATTTTTAGTTTGCGTTTTATGGTGGTGATGCCACCATAGGTGTGGAATGGGAGTGGAGAGGCAGGCAGACAGAATCCCTAGCAGGGACACACTGGTAAGTCTGGTCTCATCCAAGTGGAAAGATTATGTAGTGATTTAGAATGTAAGGAGTCATGGGTTCAGAAGGGAGTGAAAACTGAGGTGAGCTGGAGCTCCAACTTGCTCTCTAAAACCACAGGAGGCTGAGGACATGGCTCAGTGGTAGACAGCTGGCATGGTGTGACCATGGGTACTAAATAAATAAACAAGACATATGAGATCTCTCACAAGGGTAGAGAGAACAGAAGAGCTTGAACTCACAAAGGGGACAATCAGTCAAGGAGACTGGAGAGTAGCCACCAGAGACAGTCATGTTGGGAGAGGGCAGTGTCTAGAAGCTGCTGAGGGCCAGAGTAAGGTGGGACAGAGCTGTCATGTGTATTTGGCAGCAGAGGTTTCTGTGGTGGCATAGTGTGTATCAGTAAGCATAAGAGTAAGCAGGACATGGGTCAGTGAGGGTACTTCATTGGCAGAAACACTGTTATCCTTCCTGAATTTATATGGCCAACAAGCAGTTAATTACTCGTTAAAATAAGTGTGGTCCCTCATGTTTGTTGTAGGATCTGGATGATGTGTTGGAAAAAGCCAAGAAAGTAAGTTACTTTCCATTACTGCCCCCCTTCTGTTCCTATCCTATTTTTGATTGACATGCTATTTTTAGGTACTGTTTAGACATGCCCTATGTTCCCGTGCTCTATGCCAGTCATAGAGCTAAGCTCTTACTAATATCAGCTCATTTTAAGTCTCGACCCCTTCTGAGGAAGTGTAGTCTGGCCTGAGAGCCTCCCGACAGTCACCATGCTTGGCAGCACAGTAGAATGGGACAGTCAGTCTCTCACGTCCTAAAGTCACATTATTTTGGAGGATTTGTTAGAAGTCTTCTGAAACATTTTAAGTTGTTAGGAAAAAGTTAGCAAGGGCTGGAGAGATGGCTGATCGGATAAAAGCACTTGCAGACCTAGTGTTATGATCTCAACCCCTGCAGCACAGAAAGGTATCCTCCAATTGACACTTGCTTGCTGTGGCATACATATGCCTGCACATGCTTCTGCACCCATGTTTGAGCATGCATGTACACAAATACACACAGAATAAATTAAAACTGAGAAATGTGAAGTATGGGAAGTATTTATGAAACTAGTTGCACACTGTCGTATGGCAGCTTAATTGACACATGAGCCTAAGGACTTGATTCCTTCCAAAAGCTGTCTCTGTCCAGTGAATTAAAGCATGCCTACCTTTGCTCTGTGTGGGTTAATGAGGTGACATACTCATTGAAGGTAGGGTCTAAAATAGTACGTATTCAGTGATATCATTTGTATTTTATTACTGGGGCCTGGCTAAAGAAGGGTAATAAAAATGTACAGAAAATTTTAACATTGCCCTTAATTTATATGAAATATGTATATTGTTTGGAATTGTTTTTTTTTTTTTTTTTTTTTTTTTTTAGGCTAATGTTATGGCCCTTGTGGCAGTTGCTGAACATGCAGGAGAATTTGAAAGGATTATACAACTTTCAGAAAGGTTGTTGTTTTTATTCTTCCTCTGTGTGTGTGTGTGTGTGTGTGTGTGTGTGTGTGTGTGTGTGTGTGTGTGAGATGTTCACATGTGTATGCATGTGGGCATGTGAACGCCCAGGGTTGACATTAAGTGTCTTCTCTGATGGATCCCCTCTCTATTTATTGTTGTAAGCTTCTTCACTAAACCCAGAGCCCTCTGGTTCTGGCTAGTCTGGCTGTCCTAGCTTGCTCCTGGGATCCTTTGCTGAGCCTCACAAGGGCTGAGGTACAGGAAGCCACCATGCCTACCCAGCTGGGGAGCTGAACTCCAGGCCTGAAGTTCTAGTTGTTGAGCCACCTCTCCACCTCTGGTGCTAATTCTAATTAAGATTAATAGTTTATGCTGCTGAGGCCAGTCTTGAACTCATGAACTCAAGCAGTTCTCCCACCTTAGCCTTCTTAGTGCTGATACCAAAGCATAAACCCTACACTAACTCTAATGGAGATTTAAAGAATTGCTAAGAAAGACAGTTATGACTAATTTAAGTAATATCAAAGGATTGTTTTTTAAAAGAACAAGGAGAGCCAGGCATGATAGCTCATGCTTTTAACCCCACACTCAGGAGACAGAGACAGGAGCAACTCTGTGAGTTTGAGGCCAGTCTGGTCTACACAGTGAGTTTCAGGCTAGCCAAGGCTGCATAGTGAGACCCTATCTCAAAGCAAATAAAAAGATGAAGGAAGAACAGGTGTGTTAACACAGCCCTAAAAGCAGAGTGTTTCCTTTTTGTTCTTTAGGGAGACACTGTGGCCTACTGTAGCTTTCTTAACTTTTCTACATTTTTAGGTATACTGGATTCATCCTGCCATGTCTGGGAGTTCACCCAGTTCAAGAACTTTCACCAGAAAAACCAAGAAGTGTGACATTAAAGGTAAAAGTCATGTAAAATAAGAGCCATAAAAATGATAACTGTTGCCTCGGTGATCACCCACTGTGGACTGAACTTTCTATCCTGCCCAGTATTGCGGCTGTTCAGTCCCCCCCAAAAAAAAAACACACACACACAGAAGCTTATATTAATTATAAACTGTTTGACCAATGGCTCAGGCTTCTTATTGGCTATCTCTTAATTATTAACCCATTTCTATTAATTTGTATATCTCCACGTGGTTTTGGCATACTGGTAATGCCCAGACTTCTTGCTTCCTCGGCAGCAGCTACATGGTATTTCTCTGACTCTCCTACTCCCTTTCTATATACCTGTTTGGATTTCCCGCCTGGCTAAACCCTGCCTGTCCATTGGCTGAAACAGCTGTATTCATCAACCAATAAGAGAAGCATATATTCACAGTATATAGGAGGACCTCCTCCATCAACCCCCACACTCATTTCTAACTTATATGCTTTGTGATGTGGGATGGGACCTAGGGCCTCAGGCATGCTAGGTGAGCATTCCACCACTGAGCTGTAATCTCAGCTAAGTTTCTTTGTTCTGAGACAGGATCTCACTGAATTGCCCAGGCTGGCCTTGAACTCATGATTCTCCTGGCTCAGCCTCCAAATTGTCAGAATTGCAGCTTGTGCTACAAACCCAGCTTCTGATTTGTATCCTAAATTAATAACCCCAAAACAAAGAAACAGCACCTTCTATCAAGTCAAGATTGTATGACATGGTGGTATAGTGGAATTAGGATTTCTTTCTTCCATATTTTTTAACTGTGTCATGCTGCTTTGTCCATTAAAAAAGTGACAGAGGGCTGGGGAGATGGCTCGGTCAGTAGCCACTGCACAGGTGTGGGGACCTGAGTCTGGCCCCTAGAACATACATAAAATAATGGTGAGTGATGGCACACACTTGTAATCTCAGTGCTGGGGAGATGGACAGAAGAGGATGCTTGGAGATTATAAATAAGTCAATGAAAAAGAACGAAAGGAATATGGGACTACCACTATTACAACCATTGCAGAGGAGGAGGCAGAGCCCTGTGCATGATGAGTGTCTTCCCACCCTCTCCAGGCTCCTCCAAACCAGAGGAAATGCCTCCTCAGCAGAGGGCAGGATCTTCAGGAAACACCTCCTCAGCAGAGGGTGGGGCCTTCCGAAAACAACCCCCAAGCAGTGGGTGGGATCTCCATAGGCCTGTAACCAGGATGTGAGGATGGATGGTCCTACTCAGATTTCTAGTTAGAGTTGCTGACATGATAGAGACATTCCTTTGTCATAGGTTGGTTAAATGAATTCAACTGTGTGAAGCACCAATGTGGCATAGGGCCTGGCACATGCTCCAAAACGAAGAACTGTTATTCCTACTCTCAGCATTAACACAATTTTTTCCTCGCAGGATTTGGATGTAGCTTTGCCTGTTATTGAGAAGTACAAGGATCGGTTGTTGGCAATTGGAGAGGTAAACACATTTGCTGATCAGATTATGTCTAATCCAGATCTCCATGGTATATAATCAGTACTAGTAATTTTAACTGACGTGGACAGTTATTTTCACCCTGTTCAGTCCACTAATAACTCAATACTATTGGGAATGGAGCAACAGAAAGCCTTACTCTAGACTTACCTTAATGAGGGATGATGATGTAATATTTCTAAAGACTTGGCTTTTGTTTAAGTACAGCCATTGCTCTGAGAAGCTAAAACAGCCTGTAGAGAGAGGGGGCCAGTGAAAAGGCTCAGCAGCCAGAAGCGCTTGCCACCAAGCTTGAGGCCCTGGACCCATGTGGTGGTAGGAGAAAACTGACTCCTGAAAGTTGACCTCTGACCTCTACACATGCACTGTGGCATCCATGTGTGCCCCTCCACCCAGTAAATTTAATTTAAAAAGCAACAGTGGTGCTGGACAGTGGTGGTGCACGCCTTTAATCCCAGCATTTGGGAAGCAGAAACAAGCAGAGCTCTGTGAGTTCAGGGCCAGCCTGATCTACAGAGAGAATTTGAAGACTGCCAGGGTGCTTGTACAGAGACAAACAAACAAACAAAAACAAACAACCTTTGTAAGTAACATAAAGGCATACTTTAATCTTGAGTTTGTGTTTAAAGACCATGTTGCTTAAATTATTAGTAATGGCAAAGAATTTTTATCACAGTAAAAACCACTGCTTCCTACTAAATATAAAAGACAAGGAAACACATTCTGAATAGAGGTTATAGAATACATGCTCAGGTAGCTTGTATGGGAGTGGTCACCTGTAATTGGTGCTGCTCAGTGTAGTGACCATATGTGACTTTGGAAAATTTGTGGTGTTACTGTACCAATCTGAGGTGTGTGACCTAAACGGTGAGTTTTAAGAGTTGGAGTACCCCACAAGAGGAATATAAAACAACTTAGAAGTTGGGCTATGGCAAATATACTATTAAAGTTAATTATATCTACTTTGACTAATATTTTAATATAGCTAATACCTGTGTGTCTCTTTGGGCTCATCACACATGGAAAGACGATTATCTTTTGTCTGTCTGTTACAGGTGGGGCTAGACTTCTCCCCCAGATTTGCAGGCACCGATGAAGAGAAGGAAGAACAAAGGCAGGTCCTGATCAGACAGGTTCAATTGGCCAAAAGACTAAATGTGCCTTTGTAGGTGAACTGTGTTTCTGCTCAGACCTATAGAGCAAATTCCATTAACAGCTGTTCCTCCTGAAATGAGTTCCATCTTTCTTTACATCTGAGCTATTTTTTTAATTCATTCTCTATGTATGTGGTGTTTGCCTGCATATATGCCACTGGTTTGTGTGTGTGCAGTGCCTGTGGAGGCCAGAAAAGGGCTTTGGATCCCCTGGGGCTGAAGTTATAGTTACTAACCAGCTGTTGCCATGTGGGTGCTGGGAACCAGACCTTGCCCTCTGCAAGAGTAGCTGAGCATTCTCTACAGCCTCCTGAATTATTGTTAAAACAACAAAACAGTATTTTCGTATTTAAGACTTCAAAGGAATTTTATTGTTGTTAAACAGAAACGTGCACTCACGCTCAGCAGGAAGACCCACCATCAACCTCTTACGTGAACAAGGTACATGTGTTCCTAGTATTCAAACTTCACAATTCCAGCTGAGAGTTTAAGGGGCAAGTGTGTCCCATTTGACTCCTTAAAGAGAAGGGAATGCATCAAGAGTAAAAATAGAAATCCACTAGGGTGAGTTTATATGCCAGACTAATATTCACAAGGTTGTTTTTGTGCAATTATATGTATTTATGAGGCTCGAATGAAGCAAATGAAAACTTGAAGCTATAATTTTTATTTTTCTTTAAATTTTGTTAGATTTATTTATTTTATGTGTATGAGTGTTTTGCCTGCATATATGTATGTTCACTGGATGTGTGCTGGTGTCCTCAGAAGCCTGAAGAGAGTGCCAGGTCCCCCAGAACTAAAGTTATAGACAGTTGTATTATGTGAGTTTTGGAAACCGACCCCAGGTCCTCTGCAAGAGCAGCAAGTATTCTTGACCATGTAGCCATCTCCAGCCCCTGGCTCTAATAGGAAGAAAAAAATATATAAGAAGAAAAAGACAGTGCCACTGCTCACTGTGTTTTTCTGCATGTTTTCTGTCTGTTGCTTTGGGGCCAGATAACAGAGGGGCTTGTACACAAGCCTGATGACCAGAGTTCAATTCTCAGATCCCATAAGATAGCAAGAATGAAACAAATCTCTAGAGAGCTGTCCTCTGACTTCTGATATGGCACATGGGTTCTTGTGCAAATACATATATACAATAAATATATAAAAAGAATAAGTAAAAAACAAAAGAAAACAAAACTATGCAGGTTGTGGCCATCATGTGATTGAAAGAGCACAGTCAGCTAATCTTAACTTTCCTGACATGAACATAATATACAGCATTCCTTTCCAAAGTTTAAAATGCCATTTACAATAAGAGATCCACCTCATTTCTAGACTCCTATTTGCATAAAAAAACCTGTCAGACATTAACAGTACATGTATATGTACAGATGTGTTTAGTCTACAGTTGTATGCATGCAAGAAAACACACTGTTTGATTGTGACCTACTAAATAAATTTGTTTACAACAATTTATGATCATAATGAAAATTCACACCATTTGGACAAACAGATGCTGAAGTAATGGATATGGTCACTGATGTCCTCTTCAGCAAGGAGTTATGAGCCCTCTGCAAGCACTGAACACATGGTTTTTATGCAGGATGAACAGCGATCCTTAAGAGCTAGAGTTGGTGTGGAGGAATGTACCTTAGGGCTACAGGGACTGCCTGCTATAAGTAACAGTCTGGGTTTGGTCCCCAGCAACACACACACACACACAAATGTACAAAAAGAACAGGGGTTGGTTTTATGAGTCCATTTTTTTTTCCTGCTAGCATTTCTGTTAGGGAAATCAGTTTACTGAAAACCCTCCAGTTATGAGCAATAATATAACAGTTCATAGATGTTTAGAAAGGTCTAGTGGTGTAGATAGTTCAGATGACTTTTTTAAAAATTGTGCTTCAATGGTAACTATTTTATTCTGAAGATGAAAAACTTATCTCCCCCCTCCCCTTTGAACATTGTATGTTTATTGAAATTAGGAGTTATGGAATCTGGTCTTTATATCATGGTGATAAATATTTACTTAAAGTTCAGATCTGTTTAACTGGACTACTGGGACAAAACGGAACTCTGAGTTCTCTTTCATTTGAGAGGTGCTGAACAGGTCCTGCTGCATGCATTCGACGGTCGGCCATCTGTGGCCATGGAAGGAGTGAGGGCAGGCTACTTCTTCTCAATCCCACCGTCCATCATAAGAAGTGGACAGGTAAAGCCTTTCATTAAAACCCACTAAACACTTTGTATGACACAATTCAATACGTAAGCTTCGTCACAGACTTATGCTACTTATACTTACATTTCAAAAGTTATCCTTAAGTTTCTACCCAAACATAAAAAACTTAACTCAAAAAAGGATCTGAGGCCAAGCAGTGGTGGTCCCCAAATTTGGGAGGCAGATGCAGGCAGATCTCTGTGAGTTCCAGACCAGCCTAGATAATGAGACTTACAACAACAAAAAGAGTCACAGGACTTGAATTTTGTCCCCAGCACCCATGTTGGATGGCTCACAACCAAATGTAACTCTAGCTTCAGGTGAACTGACACCCTCTTTTGTGTACACACACACAACACCTCCCCTGCCCCCCTACACACAAATGAAATCAATCTTTTAAAAAAAGAATGGATCAAGGCCTAAATGTAAGAGCCAATTTTTGGTTTCTTTTGTTTTTGTTTTTGCTTTTCTTTTTTTTTTTTAAATTTATTTATTTTATATAACCAAGTCCATATAAATGAAAACAAACATTTATAGACAATATTTGGGAATGTGGGTGTCGTTCTTTCCAAACTACTTCACTTCTTCCTGCTGGTAAGGGGCGCTGTCATGGGGGATTCTAAGAAGATGCAGAAATCCTGGCTGTAGTCTGTAAGCTGTTTTGAATGTAGGATCACCTGGTACTCTGTTTCAGGCGGTCTGGCTTGATCAAAGCACATTAGTCTGGAAGGAATCCACAGCTTTTCATTTTCTGTGGAAACAAAAATAGAAATCCTTTTCCCCAGTATTGTTTTGGTCCCTGTCCTGGAACTCGCTCTATAAACCAGGCTGGCCTCAAACTCACAGAGATTGCCTGCCTCTGCCTCTGAGTGCTACCGCCTGGCCCATGAAAGGGATTAAGTAGGTATTTCTCTAAAGAAAGTAACACAAATGACCAATCAGTGCCTGGAGAAGCTCAGTGTTATCCCCTCAGGAAATTGCAGAGCAATGCCACTCCACACCACTGAGTCTGGGAGTCCACCCAAAATTAAGTGTAGAATTACGTTACCCATTAATTTTACCCTAGGGAGATAACCACAAAGTAGGGAAAAACATATCCTACCACACAACCCTGAACATAGATGCTCATGGGGTCATATGCTTAATAGTCAAAAACAGAAACAACCTAGAAGTGTGCCTACTGATGAATGTCAGATAAACAAAATATGTACATCCATACAACAGAGTGTTACTCAGCAATAAAGAGGAATGAACTACTTAATTATGTCACAACATGAATGAAACTTGAAAACATATTAAGAGAAAGCAGGCAGACACAAAAGACCACATACTGTGTGATTCTGTTTATATGAAAATGCACAAACCCCACAAATCTATGGAGACAGAAAGTTGGTTAGTGTTTGGTAGTAATTGGAGGGAAGAATGAGAAATGACTGGTAAGGGACCGGTGATATATGAGTGTGCGTGTGTGTGTGTGTGTGTGTGTATGTGTCTGTGTCTGTGTCTGTGTCTTGAGTGTGAGTGTGTCTGTGAGAATGTGTGTGTGAGAGAGAATGTGTGTGACTGTATATTGAGTGTGTGTGTGTGTGTGTGTGTGTGTACATTCACACACATATGTATACACTGTAGTACCAGGTATGGAACTCAAAACCTCATACATGTTAGGCAGTTGTACCCTCAGCCTGAACTGTATATGTTTAAAGGATGACTGTTATGGCATATGAATTACATTTCAAAATATTTACAAGGCAATCTTTAGTAACTTGCTATATATATAATCACTTTTATGACACTCATTTTCTCATACTCTGTGAGATGAGGATATAGATTATAATTAGTGATGTCTTCAATTCTATGAAGCACATCTGTATCATTCAAAAACTAATGTAGGTACAGAATGTAGAATTGTGGTACAGGCAAAGAAATTTAAATGTCTTCATCTGCAACTGTTGATATTCTTAATTGATTTCTTACTCTTACTAGGTCGAATTTAGTTCCCTAGATGCTTTGGATAAGTTTGCAATTTTAGGCTTTTTTTTTTTTGAGACAGGGTTTCTTTGTGTAGCCCTGGCTGTCTTGGAACTCTCTCTCTGTAGACCAGGCTGGCCGCCTTTAGCTCACAGAGATCCACCTGCCTCTTCATCTACCCTCAACCCCTGTGCTGGGATTAAGGTGTGTGCCATCATTACCAGGCTTACTATTCCTATTTTAAAGTGGCCATTTTGAAGTAGGATGGGGAGAGCATGATAGCTGTCCAGATAGTATAGTAATTTTGTGGTAAGGATGGGTTTTGAGTCCTGCAGGCTAACACCCCTCTACACGTAAGTTAACCATTTCATCACCGATGTAAAGCTTGTTCTCTCTTCTCTCCAAGAAGCAGAAGCTTGTGAAGCAGCTGCCTCTGAGCTCCATTTGCTTAGAGACAGATTCGCCTGCACTGGGACCAGAAAGACAGGTAGGCGGATCCCTGGTTTATGGGGTACAGATGTGTGTTTTGTTGGGGCTCTGGCTTAGCAGGACTCGTGGTGGTGCCCAAATGCTAAGTTGAGGCCATGTTTCCTGAAGTCTCCCTCCCTCCCTCCCTCCCTCCCTCCCTCCCTTCCTCCCTCCCTTCCTCCCTTTTGTCTTTCCTTCCTTCCTTCCTTTCTTTTTGTTGTTTTGGTTTAGTTTTGGTTTTTCAAGATAGGGTTTCTTTGTGTAACAGCCCTGGCTATCCTGGAACTCGCTTTGTAGACCAGGCTGGTCTTGAACTCACTGGGATTTGCCTGCCTCTGCCTCCTGAGTGCTGGGTTTAAAGGTATGTACCACCATGGCTCAGCTAGAGAGTCTTTTCTAAATACTACTGTTTCAGAGAAACATTTGACAGGAAACACACTTTCATTTATGTGAGTGTCATAAGACATGTCTGGAATTATTAAGATTTCCATTCAGACCCTTTTGAGATTTCAAGAGTTAATTGCCTAAATTTTGGAAAGCTACTTCATTTCTCCAAAACTATATTTATGGTTTTATCTGTTTATTCATTCATTGAAACAGTGTCTTATATTACATTATTATTATATTGTAGTGAGATGTTCACTTTGCTTCTGTGGCACTGAACACACCCATTTGGGGTGGAGTCGGAACTAGGTCTGAGGAGGAGCCAGGGAAAGCTCTCTTGCTGTCGGGATGAGGAGAGGAGAGCAGAGCATCCGGTGGAACCTGCTGGCTCTGTCTTAAATATTAACCCATTCCTATTAATCTGAGTATTTCCACGTGGTCTTATCTTACAGGAGAGAGGGGCTGGCGTTCTGCTCTCTCCATCTTCCATCTTGGATCTCCCTACTATTTCCTCTCTCCTCCTAGTCACTTAGTCCGCCTGTCTTGCTTTCCTATTGGCCAACAGCGCTTTATTCATTAACCAATATGAGAAACATATTTACAGAATGACATCTCCCATCATTATATTACATTGTGTTATGTACAAGATGGGCTCAACCCCACCGTATAGATGAGCCTGGCTTCAAAGTTCTCTACCTTGGTTGCCCAGAACCACTATGCCTATCTGACTTTTCAGGTATTAAACATGGCTAAAATAGTAAAATATTTTTAAATGTTTTATAAAAATTATATGAAGATATTTATATGAAAGTGCCTGACAGTACAGTCTTTATTATATAGCCCAGGCTGTCCTGGCCTCAAGCTCACAGAAATCTGCCTGCCTCTACCTCCCTATTGCTGGTTTGTTTTTTTGTTTGTTTACTTTGTTTTTCTTTTTTTTTTTTTTTTTGTTTGCAAAATCCGTTTCTTTATAAAAACAGACCTTAATAGGCAGTGCACATTTACATTTTAAAATATTACCCAATTTAGTGAGAAAGAATTCAGTGCAAACTAGAAACAGCTTATAAAGCTGAATTTATACAGAACACCAAAAATAATAGATGTATTAAAATAGCTAGGAGACATTGTATTTTAAGCAGGAATCCATATGAAGTCATATGACTCAGACTTAACAAACTAGAAAGATTTACAAATAATCCCAAACTTGCAGGATTCTATTGTAGAAATCTGGCTACTTGGGACATTTCTGTATTAGTCTACGTTAGTGTGGTCCAGCTGTTTTTCCTCTACTTTGAACTGTTCTTCTTCATTTGTATTGGCAGAAGGACCATCATGTGAGCTATCTGCAATGTCTGTGTTTAATCCACTTGACTCTTCTTGATCCTCACCAGTACCGCTGTCTTCTACTGTGTGCCCAGGATGTATTCATTAACACATCATTTTCTAGAGACTGGCTATTACTCAGTAGCTTTGCCTGCCTTCTTTCCAAGGCCAGCTGTTTATTTCTCTCAATTCTCTGTTGCTGTTCTTCTGTTAGGCTTCTACTTGATTCAGATGCCAACTTGTTGCTGTCTGATGAGTTTGTCAAAAAAGGATCAAATCCAATAGCAGTTGCATCCAGGGTATTCGTTTCTTCAGCTTCATCATTATTGCTAACAAAATCTTCATATATAATAGGGAGATCAAGTTGAATTCGTTTTAAACAGGTCTGAACCTTCTTTTTATTTCCTAGGTTTTCAACTCTGTCAATAAAATCTTCAAATTGCAGTTTGGGGAATAGCCTATGTGCCCAGTGCTCCATGTGTCTGATTAGCATTTTCAAGTCTTTAGCCTCATGACCTTTCCCCTTGTCTTATCAAACACATGCCTTAAGGCTGGAAGCCCTCTCTCAGAAGTTACTCTCATAGCATCTAGCTTGGGTAGATTCCTTTTAAGTGTTCTCTTTGGTGGTACAGGAACTGGTGCTCCACTCCCTGATTCTTCATCTGGCTGAGCTTCTGCAGGATCTCTCTCCGGAGAGGCTGGAGGTGGGAAGGGAGGGAAAGTTTCATCTTCTACATGTTCATAATCTGGTATTTCAAATAAGCCATTTTCTTCTTGTTCTAACATATTTTCCTCTCACACACTCCGTGGCCACTCGTTTACTTTGTTTTTCTGAGACAGGGTTTCTCTGTGTAACTGACTGTACTGGAACTCACTCTGTAGACCAGGCTGGCCTTGAACTCAGAGATCTGACTGCCTCTGCCTCCCAAGTGCTGGGCTAACCCAGCTTCGAGTGCTAGTGTTAAAGCCACCATACCCAGCTTCATTAGCTTTTAGGATACCATCTTTCCTGTGAATAGAATACTGTCTCATAGATGTTAAATGAGACATCCCAGGAAGGGAATGAAACCTTATCTATGAAAAACACTAAGTTTAAGGTGTCATGTCCTTCCAGACCATTCTACCCATACACAGGTATGCATAGATATACACAAACACACACATCCTTAAGATAGCATCCACCTGAATACACTCTGAATACACTGTTTCACATCTCTGTCAGGAATATATATTATAGATGTGCTTTTTCTCAGTGTTTAATAACCACATAATGCTCCACTGTTAAAACTTCATATTAGGGGCCAGAGTGATGGCTTTGGGTTAAGAGCATTGGCTGTTCTTCCAGAGGGCCTGGTTTCTATTCCAAGTACCCACATAATGCCTCACAACCATTTGTAATTCCAGTTCCAGAGAACCCAATGCCCTCTTCTGGCCTCCACAGACAATAGGCAGGCATGTGGTAGGCACACATACATGTAGGAAAAATGCTCATACACATAAAAAAAAGACCCTTGGTATTAGTCATAAATATATTTATGCACATATATGTACACAAGTATGTGTTTTAATTTTCTGAGACATGGTCTCATGTAACCAGACTGACCTCAGAGTCAGTATGTAGCCAGGGTAGGCCTTAAAGTCAGGATCCTCCTACTTCAGCCTCCCAGGTGCTGGGGATGCAGGTGTGTGCCCCCAAGGTTCAGCAAGTCTGTAATGCAAACACCACGAACAGCCTTCAGTGTGGATCTTTGGCATAGTTCTGATTTTTTTTTAGCCTGTATTATCAAGAATTTTTTTACTTAATGATTTTATTCCTCTAATTATTAACCCAAGTATCCACTTATTAATAATTTCAGGAATGTTTTTCATTAAGCCTAAATGCTATTGATTGCAGAAATACTGGTTTTTTGGGTTTTTTTTTGTTTTGTTTTGTTTTGTTTTGTTTTTTTTGTTGTTGGTTTGTTGGTTTTTTTTTTTTGTATGTGTGGTTTTTTGGGGGGTTGTTTTTGTTTTGTTTTTCTTTTTCTTTTTTTTTTTTTTTTTGTCATTAAGACACACCACTGAGTTAAGCAAAATGCTTATTTATTTCACAGGTATTAAAAGTCAGTGAGATGGCAGAACCTAATTGAGCAGTCTTTCCAGTCCTTGGGGCATTTTAAATCACATGGGTAGGTGGCCTGTGAGGTGAGGCCAAGCAGAGTGCAGTGACCTTTCCCAGCACCCATGTATACAAAAACCAAAGGATGACTAACCCCAGACAAGCTGCTCTGTTCAGGCATAGACTGCCTCATATGCTGGGTGCTCAGGGCTTCAACTGCAAATACCTGTAGGTTCTTTTCTGAGCAGCACAGACGTAGACCCAGCATTGTAGCCACACCATGCCAAGTTCATCCCCCCATTAAAAAAAGCATTAATAAAGAAATGTTAGTTCCTTCAGAGTAGAAAAGGAGCTCATCATTCTTGTGTGTGTGTCGTAGTTACAGTCTCCAGGGATCTATAGACTTTGAGAGTTCAGCTCTATTCTCTTTCAGACACGGAACGAGCCCTGCAACATTTCCATCTCAGCAGAATTCATCGCCCAAGTGAAAGGGATCTCAGTGGAAGAAGTCCGAGAAGTGACGACACAGAATGCTTTGAAACTGTTTCCCAAGCTGCAGCACCTGCTCCAGAAATAGCTGCAAAACCACCCACTGCACGGCCAGGGCAGCTCAGGGCAGCACCGGGGAAAACAAGCATTTGCTTTAATGGTCTGAAATGAAGAAGCCACACTTTATGTAGACATTCATAGTTTTACAGAAATGTTTCTCTTAAAAACAAATTCTCGGCTGGGGAGATGGCTTGGACACTAGGAACACTCAGTTGCTGCTCTTCCAGAAGACTCACACAGTTCCCAGCACCCATGCTGGGTGACTTGTAACTTCTGGCAGCTCCATCCAACTCCAGAAGATGCAATCCCCTCTTATGGCCTTGTCTGTCACTAGCACACATGTGGCCTCTAGCACACATGTGGCATACTCCTACACAGACTCACATAAACATAAACAAAAATAATAATAAAATAACAATTTCTAAAAACTATTTTTTAAAAAGAGAGGTTTGGCTTGGCTACTGAAACACTGGATTCCAGCTGTCAATTAGCGGAATCCTGTGGCAGACTGGAAGATACCACAGACACGCTAAATTTGTGGAGCTATTGCCCACTTGAGGGGAGAATGCCTCAAGGGACCCCCCCAACCCTGCTTTCCCCCACTTAACAAGCTTATAGAAGATACTCCAGGGATTTTTGTCTTTGAATACTTAATAATCAGTGTGTACATGGCAGAGTTCTATATGCTTCAGATGTGGTAGGGTACCTCTGGGCATGATGTCCCAGCTGAAGTGTGTGGATAAGAAGGAACCAGGTCACAGCTGTGCGGGGGAGGGGCCTTTTCCAGAAGAAACAGCAGTTGTAAGAGCACTGAGATACCCATCTCCCTCCCTTAAAGAAACAAACTTCACTCTGTGGCCTGGACTCGGTAATGCTGGCTCAGCTTCCTAAGCAGTTGTACCTGAGCCTCATACCACAGCACCTGGCTAGTAAAGACACACCTGCATACCTTCGTACCTTTGAGGGAGTGAGCAGGCCTCTGTGATGCAGAAAGGGGATGTTTTCTGGTTTCATTGATGGAGAAGATAGGAAAAAAGAGACCATATAAAAAGAGTCCATATACCTGTTAACTGGTTCTTGAAATTAGGAAGCCTGTCATTTGTGCTTAAGCGTAAAAGTTAGGGCACAATGATTTGGCCCTGGGTAATAGGTTTGAATGGGGTGATGGCAGCCATTGTGATTTGTACTACCTCTGGCACCTTGGTGAAGACATTTTTGAGACTGTAATGTTAGACTCCATCTGCTGCTGGGTCACAGTGCCCACAGCAGTCCTTCCCCTCGCAAGGACACCACAGCTCCTCAGAAAACACTGTGAACCTTGAACTTCTAGCTAATGACTTCCACGTTCCTGCAGCTCTCACTGGTGAGTGATTTTATATCAAAGGGTATTGGTAGCCACTCATTTGCTCCCCACCTCCTGCCTGGAAATCAGAGCCTGTCTTGTGCTGTGAAACCTCCACTGTCCTCAGAGATAAGCAGAGACTGACACTTCTGCCATGGGGGGGAGGGGAAGGGGGATGTGAGTGCTGTTCCTCTTCAGCACCCCACCATGTTATCTAAACTTTCCTTGAAGCCTCTGCCCGTGGTGTTGTCTGTCTGCGACATTAATCACCCTTTTGTTAATAACACAACTGTCTATCCCAATGTCCCCAAGAGCCCCCATCCAAGACCTTTCATTAGTCTAAAGAGACGTGTACCCCTTCTTTTGGATGGCTATCAGAATATTAAGACAATAAACCTCAAAGAATTGGAATTTTCCCAGAAATCATAAGCTTATAGAAAAGAGGCTTTAACTTGGTGCCACCTGGAGGAGAAAGTCTCCGCAGAGGAGGTCATACAGGTCTGACCACTTATCAGATCACCTTACAGGACAGACCAGAGAGCCCAGACAGTGTTGTGTCAGCGGTGGGTGACTTAGACATACATCCCCCTCAATTTGAATCTAAACCCCGTGCACGTACCCTAACAAGGGCCTGGACTTCCTCCCAATGTGGCCACAGTAAATTGTTTTTTTTTTTTTCATTCCTGTCCCCCACCTCCAACCCCTGTAAGCCAGGCTGGCCTGAAACTTACTACAGACGCCAACCAGGCTGGCCTTGAACTAGCACACATTTGCCTCTGCCTGCTGAGCGCCGAGATTAAAGGTGTGTGCCATCACCCAGCCTAGGAACAATGCCTGAGGTCCAGACTGCTCTGTAACCAGTCTCAGGCTCACAGAGGAGGAAGAGCCTACAACAGGGGGTCATTACATGAAAGGGTGTTTCCAGCAAAATCTCCAAGAGAAAAGTGCAGGTTCTCTGTTCCTGAGTGGAGTGTCTGAGTCTGCTCAGACAGGCCATTTACAGCCCCTAGATTGACCGGGGGCCCTTCTTATTCGGATGCCTACTTAGACGGTCACGGTCTGGTTGGTTTTGATTGGCCTCTGCTTCTGCCAGCCCATCTCTGTGGGCACACTGCAGTGCTGAGAAAGGACATGGGAGTTTATGGGAGCTTAGAGAGGAAGTGTCAGCTGCCTGGTGCTACAGTGGCCATGCTGTAACACTAATGTTCTTCCCAGAACACTGGAGGAACAGCAGGAATCACACGCATGCACACTAGTGGGCTCAGTTGGGGCCTACAGGAAGGGCAGAAACAGGGCAGAAAAAGCAAAGCCTGTTATCACATGCTGATTGAGGGAGGCAACATGTCACTGGCAGATAGGAAGCCCTCCTGGGAGGCCAGAGAATAGTGGCTGCTGTTTCGGGTAGGGTCAGAGTCCACTACACCTGAACTTCAGAGTTTCTGGCTTTAACTGAAGACTGCTATAGGGTACACAGGGCAAAGCAGAGATATTTAATGGGAAGGGCTGAAGGGAAGGTATTCTAAAAGAGGGGATGTTTGACTCATAGGAGGGGAGGGAGCTCAGAGACAAAGGCAAGCTCAGAGAACTGCAACCAGTCCCACCAAGGCAGAGGCAGAGGCACACCTACAGGAGACGCGGGATGGGGCCAGGGAAAGGAGAAAGGAGCTTGAGAGGCTGCAACTACTGTGTATAACCTGGCATTTGTTGCTCTGCGCTCCTCCTTAAAGAATACTGTACTTTGTCATGACTATTGGGCTGTTGAAAGTACAAACTCTAGATCTGGTCTCTTGTTTCTGCCTTGGTACCAGGTGATCTTCCTCAGAGGCCAGAGATAAGGTCTCCTGTTGGAGCAGAGGTAGGCCTGGTTACCTCATACAGTAAAGATGAAGTCTCCTTATAGGCAGAGCCTGGGTTGTTTATGCCAGTGGAGATCATCAGCTGTGCAGCCCAAACCTATGTGCCTCTACCTGGCAGCATTGCCTAGCCTTGAGGGTCCTGAGGCAGTAGGCTACAGGCAAGAGAATCAGCTAGAGCTAGAGTTCTCTGTCTGTGAACCAAGAGTTTCATCTCTTCTGTAAATGCCCATGCTCATGAAAGTAGGAGGCCACCCTTCAAGGTTCTTGAAACTAGCTATTTACTGTTGGGAAGTGAAAATTTAGCTCTAGTCTTATTTTATTACACATCCCCAGCCTTTTTAGGGACAAGCTAGAGTCCTGAGATAGAGTCCAGGCTGGCCTGGAATTCACTGTCCTCCTGAATGCTGAGGTTACAGGTGTTCACTGTGACACCAGGCCAGTTTCTTTTATTGGTAGCATTTCTAAATAATTCACAGACATTGGAGACTGATGGAAGAGAATTTATTTGTGTGTCTCTGGACTTGTACTTTATCCAAATATGGCATTATCTGAAAGATAAAAAATACATTTATTCATTGGTGAGATGACTCAGCCATTAAAGGCTAGGCTCACAAGCAAAACGTCAAAAAGAAACACATTTCACTAGTCTATTGCAGCTTTTAGAATAACCTGAAGGGGAGAGAGGACTGTGACTCTTGCAGTTCTTTGTTCTTGTACTGGGATTAACTGTGGACAGTGCATGTTTGAGACACACACACACACACACACACATACACAGAGAGAGAGAGACAGACAGAGACACACACAGAGAAAGAGACAGACACACAGAAAGAGAGACAGACTGACACAGAAAGAGACAGAGACAGACACACAGAGAGAGAAACAAACACATACACAGAGACGGACACACAGAGAAAGACAGAGAGAGAGAAAGACAGAGAGAGAGAGAGAGAGGGAGGGAGGGAGGGAGGGAGGGAGGGAGGGAGGGAGGGAGGGAGGGAGGGAGGGAGAAGAGCTGTGCCAAGTCCCTGAGGTTGGAGACAGCTTCACATGTCCCAGAAGAGGAAGAAAGCAAATGAAGAGACCAGGGTGAGCAAAGCAGGTCTGCAGCTGGGACTGTTCATTGAGAAGCATGTGGCACAGGGTGGGAATATGGTTTTTATCCTCACCATAGCAGGAAAGCACAGATGAGTTTTGTGTAGCAGGTAATGTGTTCTGAACGGTTCGCTGGGGCTGTCCTGTGAAGTAAATGCAGGAGCAGAAAGCGTGCAAACTGAGTAGCCACAAGGCCCCTGATAAACTCGGATTGTAGGTTGGGCAAGTTTGGTGGCAGGTTAAGATTCAGGATTGATTTTTGGAGGAGGAACTGACAGCACTCGTGGCTACTTTCCCAGATAAAGAAGGTTAGGCTGGTGACAGTGATGTGGTTGATAACAAGAACTTTGTCTCAGGGACACTAAGCTGCAGGTGACTTCAAGTAGAGTGGCAGTGTGAGAGAGTGCGACAGATAGAATACATGGCTGAAGGTCAGACGAGGGGTCAGAAATTACACTGTGAGGTCATCAGAGAAGAGATGAAATTAAGTTCTCTGGCTGCTGTTCGAATGGGAATGTTCCCCATAGGCTCATGCATTCCAACACTTGGTCCCAGTTCACAGTGCTGTTTGGGGATGTTTAGGGGACATGGTCCTGCCTGAAGGAGCTCTCAGCATCCTGTACCACCTGCAATGCCTGCTGCTGCCCTCCACCCTAACATTATAGACACTTCCCCTCTGGAGCCATACCTCAAAATGAGCTCTTTCTTCTGTAATGTGCCTTGGTCACAGTGTCCTATCACAGTGACAGAAAGTGACTCACACAGTTCGCCAGCTGCCTGCATAAGGCTCCCAAGAGGACCACAAGGGCCAGAGTTGTACCTCTTCACCCTTTTAACATTCAGGATAGGAGAGATTGTCTTCCAAAGAGAGGCTGCCACTTTGTAGCAAATGATGTGTATAACTTAGTATTTGTTGAAACCTACCAAATTAACACTTTTATCAAACCATAAGGTCCCAGCTCCTAATTTAACAAATGATTTTCTCTGCACCTGCTGGCCTCCAGGCTCCTTCTCCCATTTGTTCTAGCCAAGAGGAGAACAGCCGACTTCAAGTTCTGCTCTTAGGAATGGCTACTTGACTTCTTTATAGTGAGTTTCTCCATTGACAAAAGGGTCTGTTTTTTTTTTTTTTTTTCAATAAGCCAACATTTTTATCCCATCCTATTTATCAAATTGGTAGATAGAAACTCAAATCAAAGGCAAGGGCTAAATATGAAAGATTTAATGCTTGGGGTGGGGGCTATTGGTTTACAGCTTTGACATTATGAGAGTTAGACATGTTAGACTTTGTGTTGTATGAAGCCATACATGCTCTTCTAAGAGTGGACTTTCCACCATCAGAGTGGTAAGAACTGATATACTGCTGTTCTGAATAATTCCACCAGAACGAAGAACTGTGTTTTTTCTTCTATAACTAGGAATGCCAAAGCATTGATTTTGTAAATATGGTTGAGCTTTGTTTATTTTTTAAAAAGCAATACAATCATTACACATAGTCTCAAATCACAACATAGTGTCTGGGCTTTCTAGGCCACACTGTACCACTTTCCTATACCACTCCCTGAGGACACTGGCCAAATGCAAAGTCATGGCCGCATAATGGCCAATTTGGGCAATTCTTTCTGAACTAAATTAATAATGTATTGGCTATATTGAATATAGTTACGTGTGCATCATTTCTCCAGTTGCCTGCCTTGACTACAAAACAGATAGTCATAATCCATATTTGTAACACTACCAAAACAACCTCCCACCCAACTTCCTTCCATAGTTTTGTTACTGCTACTTATGGTATTATATGTCATATTTGTTATTAAAACTTCATTTTACTTCCATGTTGCAGTGGTGACACAGGACGTCTCTGAAGGGAATGCAACTTTTCTCAAAATGTGGTTGTCAGGCCTCTAGCAGTTAAGAACCTCCTTAGTTGGCTGGCAATGGTGGTGCACACCTTATTCCCAGCACTTGGGAGGCAGAGGCAGGCAGATCTTTATGAGTTTGAGGTCAGCCTGTGAGTTCCAGGACAGGTTCCACAAAGCTACACAAAGCATCCCTGTCTCCAAAAAGAAAACAAACAAACAAAAAATATCCACCTTAGTCTGCTGGGAATGCAGACTGCAGGGCCCAGACACCAAACTCCTGAAGGAACTGGCCTGTGGTGGGACCTGGGGTCCTATAGACACAAGAAAATGAGTCTCTGTTCTATAGTGGGTCTTACACCAAATAATCTATTTTTACCATCAGACACATTTCCTTCAGAGAATCCCCAGGTAATTACCCCCCCTCCCCCCGTTCAACCCAGAAATTCTGCTGAGTCTCCATGTTTATCCCTCCTACAGATTGGTAAAAGTCCTACCGTATTCTTACTTTTTGGTGGAAAATGCCTTCTCTCCTTGTGAACCAAGAGATCCTGTTTGACCCAGGAGGTCCTGCTACTTTCAGGAACAGACTCTTTGACATGCGTGCAAGCTAAGGACTGGTAGGCCTGGCTGAAGTGCCGCTTCTGGACTCGAAGGAAGCTCACTTGGTTGCTTCTCTCCACCAGACAGTAGGACTCACGCTTTTCATTTAGCTCTTCCAGGAGCTGCTTTCTGCTCACTCTGGTTTTTTTCACATCCATGCTCTTGTTCATAGATGCCATTTTGTTAACACAGTGGTGATCAGCTAACTCTTGCCGTCCTAAAAACACAAGAACTCTTATCACTGACTTTCTGAGTCTGGCTTTTGATTGTATCATTAGCCTCTGGAGGATATACATGTGAAAAACAAGTGCAGATGGGATTCATATTTTGTTAAAAGCCCATTTTATAGATCTACTGCAAAAGACAGACAGACACACAAAGGTTCCCTGAGATCACACAATTAACCCTTTATATCACTTACAAATTTGAGCCCAACACTCAGCTATATAATTCAATGGTAAAACCATAGATTCTGGTCATTTGGGTTTATGTGCTGGCTGTGCTGCCTACCATGTACACACCTTGTTTAAGTTACTTACCTTCTCTGAGCCCCAGTTCTCTGACAAGTCAGTGTGGATAGCCAGCCCAGAGTATCACATAGACTAAATGAGTGAATACACATCAAATTCTACTGCTGCCCATTCTCAACAGACAGTCACATAATTTATCATGTAATTGGGTGCCTTGAAAAAAAGGATGTATTCTCTCTGATAAGTAAACAGTTTATGTTTGTCTCCCTAATCATTGATCTGTTTACTTGTGTTTTGATGAATATTGGTGGGACCCAGTGAAGCTGAAACTGCTGGGTCCTTGTTTTAAAAATCAGAACACCTGCCAGTGTGAGGCCCTGGTGAGGACCAGCCTGCACAGGCTGAAGCCTAGAAAAGTGGCCCTTTGTGTCAGTCTCCACAGGTTGTTCTCCTAATTTCTCCTAATCTTCTAGATGGAGATAAGCTGTGTGTGTAACCTGTGACATTGAAGATATTTGAAAATGTGAAGCATGAACACAGCAGACTTTATTTGTTGAGTCTGTATTAAGCTTCCCTATCACTAAAATCTGTAGCCCCAGTCAGTACCTGTGGGTCTCAGTTCATGGAGGACATCATAGAGCAGCAAGAAGTCTACATTTCCTGCTGCCTCGCTCCCTGCGTGAGAAGCGTGGCCACTCTACCTTCTTTTCTCAGCTCTCAGACTTTACTTTCTGGGGTCTATTTAGCATCATGTTCTTCACATTTGTGAGGTTTTTTCCTTTCAATGTTTAAGATGGCTGAGGGTAGCACTGAAATGCTGTCATGTGTTTTACACACACAGAGGGTGTGACACCCTTGCAGAAGGATGTGTTAGAGAAGATTGTATGGACCTGAGATGTTGGCTGTGAATTCAATTTGAGTTCTCAATATAGATCAAATAGGGTGTCTTTAAACAGAAACAGGTGACCTTGGTGCACACCTACAGTCCCAAATTACCCAGGAGGCTGAGGTAGGAGAATCATTTGAGCCCAGCAGTTCAAGAACAGACTAGGCAATATAGTTATCAAATTAACAAACATACACAAAATGAAGTTATATACCGACTGGTTTACAAAAGCTTATAGGAACTTAATCATCTAGAAGACTGGTATTTGCTAGTTCAATGTTTACAGTGGTTTTATGAATACAACTACAAGAATAATGAGAATAGACTATATACAGAGAGAAACAGTATTGTTTCTATAGGTACATCAACTATAAATTACCTTTAACACCACCAACCCGAATCCTATGAAGTCCACAGTGGGAATCACCCACTGGACTGTACCCGGGGGATAGAACTTTCTGAGCTCTGCCACCTCATCTCTGTTCTGTTCTCAGAACCCTGCTTAACAGAGGAAGTCTCCTCAGAGACGGCTTCCTTACTAACCATGTGTCCTTGGATAAGTGCCCTGACCTGTGTTTACTGTCAGTGATGTTGCTCTTTGCTGCAGCTTCGGGCGATGAAACATGATCCATCAAACTCAACAAACCCACATGGAGTTTATTGGCAAAGGGAGTGAAGGGAGGGGTAGGCATTAACTAATTGGGAGCATAAATGGAGAGACAGAGACAGAGAGAGAGAGGACGGGCAGAGGTGCCTGCTTATAAAGGCAAAGGAGTGGTTTAGAACGAGGCTCAGCAGTTGGGGACCTTGAACCTGGAGTCGTGGAGCTGCTGTTGGCCCAGCTCTGCGAGGCCTTGGCTCCACATGGTTTCTGCATGCAGAGTCCTTATGCAACCACCTAGCACCTACAGAGGCAGCCATGCAAACTTTGACAGCCTTTGAGCTGTCAGTGAGGAGCAAAACGATCACCTGTCAAAGGTAGATCACAGATGAGGAAAGGTCTCCAGAAGAAGAGCGATCCCTGGGGGTGGGGAGAGAACCTGAGGATTAGAGAGGCCCCCTCTACCAGAAAAGATTCCCTAGGAGAAGGCACAGGAGTGACAGGCAGGTGCTGAGGAGAAACCACTGGGGAGGGAGGAGAGGAATTGGGCACAGGAACAGGGCCAGGTTGCCCAGGACCTGGGGAGAGGAAGAAGCCAGGATATCAACTAGTAAATCACCTGTAAAATGGGAACAAAGACACTCATTGACTTGTATGACAGATGGCAGGGAAGAGGCTGGGATTATGTAAAGTACACTTGGAAAACTGTGCTGTATGTGCTTCTGTTTGCTGTGTGCTGAATTTCTTGAGTACCCATTCTGTGCCTGGTGACAAATAAGAGTGTACTTCCATGAAGAGATGTGCTAGAGGATCCCAGAAATTTTAAGCCCAGGGTGTTGGTATGAGCCTGAAGTTCCAGCTACACACAGAGGCTGAGGAACAAGGATCACTTGAAACCAGGAATTTGCGGCCAACATGAATAATATTACATAATCTCATCTCCAAAAGAAAAAAAACCTTTATATTTTGCACAAAGGACTATTTAGATACTTTTTGTTTGTTTGTTTGTTTGGTTTTTAGAGTCTCACTATGTAGCTTTGGCTGTCCTGGAACTCACTATGTAGGCGAGGCTGGCTTCAAACTTATTAAGATGGCCTGCCTCTGTCTCCAAGCCTGGAACTAAAGGTGTGTGTCATTACACTGAGCCAGATTATCTTTCTTCAGAAGAGCTCTCCTCCTGCTTTTTAAGAAAATCTTAATTTCTTTTATCTCCTTACAGGAATTAGTGACAGGGGAAAGACGTAAGAGGTGTGTGACAGCAAATGCACACTAGCTCACCCTCTAGAGTCTCGTGATAACTTGTGGTAACTGTGGGGACCAATGCAGAGTGATTGGAGGGGTGAGAACAACTTTGTCTTGTTTTGGATGCCACACATAATGCAAAAGTTATCAAGAAGACACATCCTCTGGGCATGATCTTGGCATTTTCAAACCCAGGGCTGTATCTGAATTCTCTCACTTCCAGGGTAGCTGGAGGGAGGTGAGTTTTGGCTTATCCAGTGATGAGGCAAACCATTTAGATCTTTGGGATTCGATAACAAATTAAAATGTCTGACAGAATTAAGTAAGAAAGCTGAAAAAGATGTTTAACATTAGTTTCTCTAAAATATATATTTGAGGTTAGGTTACTAATTCAGAAAAGTATGCATGCTATCCCAAATACCATTATCTTACAATGTGGTAATTTGTTGTATAAGTAATTTACCCTGGATTATTCTCAAGCAACAGATTTTCCTTGCCCAGAGATTATTTCCCCTGTAGGCTGCACTTTAAGGCTGTATTGATCCCCATCTTCCCAGTACTTTGAATCATTAATGAGCCTACAATTCACTAAAGCCTTACTGTATTCTATTCTGACATGAACACTGAGCCACACCAGTTCTTTCATTCGTCTGACCAAAGGGATGACATGCTAGCATTCACATATCCTCAGGTCTGGACCTGAGACATTTTTTGCTATGGTAGTGTCTTAGGGTCACTATTGCTGTGATGAAACACCATGGCCAAAGCAACTTGGGGAGGAGAGGGTTTATCTCACTCACAGTTCCATGTAATAGTTCATCATCAAAAGCAGTGAGGGCAGGAACTCAAGCGGGGCAGGAACCTGGAAGCAGGAGCTGATGCAGAGGCCATGGAGGATGCTACTTACTGCTTGCTCAGCCTGCTTTCTTATAGGACCCAGAACTACCAGGCCAGGGATGACATCACCCACCATGGCTGGGCACTCCCCATCAGTTGCTAATTAAGAAAATGCCCTATATGCTTGCCTACAGCTGGGCTTATGGAGGCATTCTCCATATGGAGACTCCTTATGGAGGCCCCTCCTCTCAGATGACTCTAGCTTGTGTCTGGTTGACATAAAACATACCTACTGCTGTGCCAAGGGTACTCATTTACTGAACTTCTCCTGAGCATTCCTGTCTAGACCAATACTAGGATGACTTAAGAGAGGTGTGTGTGGTGCAGCATGCATGTGATCCTAGCACTCAGCAGGTTGAGACAAGAGGCAGGAGTTTGAGGCCAGGTTGGGCTAAATAGTAAGACCTTGTTTCAAAATAAACAACACAAATACAAAAAAAAAGACCAATAAAAAAACCTTTGTTTTAAATAAGCAGTATAAAAAGCTTTTTAAAAAATATGATTTCAGATGGTTTCTGTCCCAAACAGCTAATAGTTATCTGAGATACCAATATGGCTAATAGTACTAAAATAGTATTGTATATATAACAGGACCATGAAGGGACATGTATGATTTGTTTGCATGTTTCCTCAAGTCATTCTGCAGACAAGTGAGCTTATAAACATATATGCTGTCTTGTAATAACTATACAAGCTTCTCTGAATACTTGGGGAACAACGTGGAGCCTTCAGTAACCACAGGCCACAGTTACGTCGTGTGTTTCAGTATCTACTGAGCATCTTCATCTCCAACCCCAGGTGTGTTTTCACTCTGCTGCTCTTGTTGAGAACGTCAGTGGTTGGTTCTTTAAGAGGACGAAGCGGAGACTGATGTTCAGAGTCTCACCCAGTTTAGCCCCAGACCATATTCTTTACCCTGTAGCATCCCAGTCTCCCTGAGATGCCATTTCTACTCCTGCTAGCTGGCTTTTCTCACACTCTGGAGAGTTCTCCAGAGTGAAGTTGTAGTATGTCACTAATTCCACTTTGCTGTGACCCACTCTTCACCACTTCCCCACCACATTCCTTCCTGAGGCTACAAAGGCCTTACCAACCTTTCTTCATAATCTCCCTCATG